TGAGAAGCGCCTATGTGGCCAAACGTTGGGCCCCAGCTTGGCCAAGCTATCTGATTCTGTATTCCCCCAGCCGCTCCAGAAACTCTTCGGGGAACACTTGGGGGAGGCTGAGGGGGAGGATCAGGAGAGGGAGGAGGAGGAGGAGGAGGAGGAGGAGGAGGAGGAGGAGGAGGAGGAGGAGGAGGAGGCGGCCTCTTGGGAGCCTCTTGGGGCACTCTTGTGGGGCCTCCTGGGGGCTTCCCGGGGGCCTCTTGGAAGCCTCTTGGGGGCCTCCTTAGGCCTCTTGGGGGCCTTGGGGGCGTCTTGGGGGCCTCTCCTTGGTCGTCTTAAAGCGTTCCTCGCCCGTCTGACGGGTCTGACGACGTCGGAAGCCGTCTTGGGGGCCTCTCTGAACCGATGTGGGGTCCTCTTGAGGCGCTTCAGGGCCGTCTTGGAGGCCATCTTGGGCGTCTTAGAAGCCTCTTGGGGCCGTCTTTGGGGCCTCCTTGGCCGTCATGGGGCCATCTTGGAAGCCTCCTGGGCGCACTGGGGGCGTGGAGGAGGAGGAAGAGGATGAGGAGGAGGTTGAGGAGGAGGAGGAGGAATAGGAAGAGGAAGAAAAGGACTGGGAAAAGCAGGCGACGAGGGAGTAGGAAGAGAAACAGGGAGGAGGACCAGAAGAAGGAGGCAGGGGGTAGGAACGAGGAGACACAGTCAGACAACGAGAGACAAAGTCGGAGCAACCCCCAACCCCCAGAGTCTGGGGGCGCTCCAGAGTCTGAACAACACCTTTTTCAGATCCCCCGGGTCGCCATGAGAATCCCCTGAACCGCGCCGACACCTACTAAGGGACGCCCAGGCCCTAGAGGGAGCCAAGCGGGCCCAAGTACACCCCAAGACCATTGCCTTCCCTGTGCCTTCCTTGCATCACCCTGGTGCTTCGCCCACTCCACCTCGACTCCTCGCCCCTCTTTCGCCTCCTTCTCCGCGTTAGCTCGGTCTTCCGTCTCTCCATCTGCTCCACTCCTGCTCCTGATAAATAACTCCTCCCTGTCGCACCCAGAGACGTTGTGGCAGGGCGGGCCGGGCGATTCGCCTGAGACTTCCTCACCCAGGGCGGGCTGCTTTCAAAATGTGGCTCTCACCAAAGCGCCGCGCACATTCGTTTTAAAGTTTGCAGACTTTCCAGGATGGAGGGTCGGTGGTATTCAAGATGTGGTTCTCGCCTGGGCGCCGCGCACATCTTCGATTTACAAGTTTGCAAGAGCTTCACGGATGGAGGGCGGGCGGTTTGCAAAATGTGGCTCTCGCCTGGGACCGCGAATTTTCGTAGTAAAAGTTCGCAAGACTCTCATGGACCGAGGGCGGGTCGCTTTTAAAATGAGGCTCTTGCCTCAGCGCCGTGCACATTCGTCTCAACAACTTGCAAGAGCTTCACAGATGGAGGGCGGGTGGTTTTCAAAATGTGGTTCTCGCCTGAGCGTCGCGCACACATTCGTTTTAGAAGTTTGTAAAAATTCACGGATGAAGGACGGCTCGTTTTCCAAGTGTGGTTCTCGCCTCTGCGCCGCGCACATTCGCCATACAAGTCTGGAAGAGTTTCACTGATGGGGGGCAGTTTCTGTCCTACATGTGCTCTCGTCTCAGCGCCGCGCACATTCGTCTTAAGAGTTGACGTCAGCTTAGGCGATTCTTATGGTTGGCGTCAAAGAAATGCTGTTTTGGGCCGATGCAGGACTATCAGGGCGCGAGCATCACGTTGATTCACGGTGTTGAATCCCAGGAGCGGTGTTCTGGCACGGTTCAGGACCGCCAGGACGAAACAGGAACGTTGATTCGCGGAGATGAAGTCCCACTAAATGTGTTTTGGCACGGTTCTGGATTGTCAAGCGGTTGTCTACCAACGGGGCACTTTTCCCTGTGAGAACACATTTTCTAATTGCAACATCGTCGGTGGGTCTTGGGTCTGCACTGGTCCTCCTCCTTCTTCTCCTCGCCCTTCTTCTCATCCTTTTCATCCTTACCCTCCCCCGCACATCACGAAGCCGCCCTGCCGATGGCCGGCGGAACAGCGCAAGCCTCCAGGATCGATGTCGAAGTGCTCGCTCTCGCAGCACGACGAGGCCCGGGCAAACATCAGCGCTGGCTCTGGACGGCTGGACGCGCAGTTTGAGTCTGCTGCCAGACATCTTCCGTTGGCGAGGCGCGAGCCCACCGGGCCACCTGGGAGCCTGCTCTGCTGGAGCACGGCGAAGCCGATGCCGAATTGCAGCACGGGGCCCGTGGTGCCTGGCAGGATAGTCTTGATACCATCCTGGCGCCTGGCAGCGGCCGAATACCAGAACTGCTCGCTCAGCACCAGCTCGACAGCACCAACGTTCTTGCTGAGGCGCACGAAAGCCCGCTGGCAGAATCTCTCCAGTTCAGCTGTGTCGGCGCTGGTCTCCCACTCCTCGGGAAGCCTGGCCTGCAGACCCAGGATGAACGGTTTCTCGTTCAGCTCCACCTGCTTCAAATAAAACATATTCTTGAATAGCTCCCCTGACTTGGTCGCGTTTGTCTGGACACATATAAGCTCGCCCTTTGCCAAAGAAGACGCCCAATGGCACCGTTTGATGTACTCTGACAAATTCTTGTCGGACAGCTCCAGAGGTTGACCCTGGATGCCGGTCACATAATTCCGGCACTTAAATCGGGTCTCGTCCTCAATGAACTCCTCTGGCACGCCGTTGAGCAGAAATCTGCAATTCCTGCCGACAATCTCTTGAACGCTGTAACCCGTCAGCGCTGTGAAGCCCTCACTGCAAGCTACCAATGGGCAGTCCTCTTGCAACGGGTCCGCTATGGTGACAGAGAGCTCCAAGTTCAAGAACGCGTCATAGTGCCCAACAGAGTCAACGATCTCCTGCAGCTGCAAACTACCCCTGAACGCCTCCTTGTCCCCGGGCCGAGGCGAGGGCATGCGCCGCCCCACCCTCCGCCCCGTCGGGCACGCGGCTGGTCTGAAGAACTCCAGCTCGCGCGCGCACGCCCTGATGAAAACAGCTAAGGAGGATGACGGCGAGCCGGTGGTGGCGGGCGCCGGGGCGCGGACGCGGGAGGCTTGCTCTGGACGGCTGGCTGAGGGCACCACGGTCGCACGGCCAGGCCCCGGGGAAACTGCCCACTGGACCGCCGCTCATCTGAGCGGGGCGCCTGCATTTCACGGGCGGCCCAAGCGACGGCAGAGCGCTTTCCCGGGCCACCGTCGCCGGGGCTGGGAGCCCACTCCCTCAGGCCAAACCTGACCTCAGCGGCGATATCCTTTAGCCCCGATGCAGTCACGCAACGTCCCAAACCTCCAGAGAACGGGGAGGAGGAGGAGGAGGAGGAGGAGGAGGAGGAGGAGGAGGAGGAGGCGGAGGATCGAGATAGGGAGTGGGTGGACGGATAGAATGAGGAGGATGACGGGGACCGGTCCCCAAACCAATCCCCCTTGGACTGCTGTGAAGTTGGCCCCACCTCATGATGGCAACTGCTGGGAAGTGGGGCCCGAGGATGGGATCGGGCAGGTCGACGGCGGGCATCGACGAGACAGGCGGCAGCCAGTGCATCAAGTCGGTTGGCCTGCACTCTGGGCTGCACGACATCGGGAAGCTGGACTCTGAGGGTCGAAAAGCCCAGGTCTAGCAACGTGTCAACGATTGCCTACCCTTCACTTTAGAGTTCTCCATTGCCATCTTCTTCTCCTGCACCGTATCCTTGTCCGTCATCTTCTCCTCTCCACTCGCATGTTGCGCCTCGTCTTCCACCTCCGTCTCGCTCCTCGTCGTCAACATCCTCATCCTTCTCATTATCCATGTCCTCTCCCTCCTTTCCTTTCCCCTCCTCTTCCTCATCCGCCTCACAAGCTTGCTCCTGCATCCCCTGCTGTTTCTCCTCCTGATTGTCCTTGTCCTCCATCTGCGCATCATGACTATCATTGTTAATCCTCATCCTCTTGCGCCTCGGCCTTCGCATATCCATCACCATCGTACTCGCCATCAATGTCACCATCACCACGCTCATCGCAATCAGCTTCCTTCTCTTTCCCACCGTCTCCAACTTCGTCCGTGCCCAATTGCTCTACTATTCTGCCCCTCATCCGACTCATCCGCCACATCCACATCATCACCACCATCATCATCACCACCATCACCATCATCACTATCATCATCATCATCCTCATCATCATGATTATCCTCATCATCATCATCATCATCATCCTCATCATCAAATGCATCATCATCATCATCATCATCATCATCATCATCATCATCATCATCATCATCATCATCATCATCATGATTAGCAGCAGAATCGTCATCGTCCTCAGCATCATGATCATCGTCATGACCATCATCATCAACATCCTCCTCCTCACCATCACCGTCGCAATCGCCATCGTCATCACAACCACCGTCATCATCATCGGCATCGTCATCATCAGCAGCACTACCATCAATAGCATCATCATCGTCATCATCATCACGAACATCACCATGGCCATGCTCACTATCATCCTCATCACCAGTATCATCATCATCACCACCACCATCACCACCACCACCACCACCACCACCACCACCACCGTCAGCACCTCATCCTCACTATTATCCTAATTACCATCACCCATTACCATAATCCTCGTCATCAGACGCACCATCACCGTCGTCATCCACAGTTCAGCATCCACACATCACTGCGACTCTTGCTCATCTCCGCCCTTGCATTCCTACTCTTCTCCTCCTCCTCCTCCTCCTCCTCCTCCTCCTCCTCCTCCTCCTCCTACACATCCTCCGCCTCATCATCCTTTCATTCCTCCCCCACTTCCTCCCCTTCGTCCTCCTCCTGGTCCTCCTGGGTATCCCGCTCCTCCTCACTCTGCTACTCCTTCTGCTGCCTCCTCCTTCTGCTCTTCTCATCCTCCTGCCTCCTCCTCCTCCTCCTCCTCCTCCTCGTCCTCCCTCTCCTCCGCCTCCGCCGCCTCCTCCCTCGGGGTCCTCGTAGACGGCTTTGAAACGACGCAGGTACCACGCAAATGGCCTACAGCCATTGAGCTTCTCCTTCGCCCTGTCGAAATTCCCCATATCCCCAATCCACTCTGGGCCGCCCCGTGCCTGACCGGGGTGCAGGCGGCACGAAGCAGAACCCTGGAAAGCAGAAGGCGGAGGATTGGGAAGTGGAAGGCTGGGAGGGAGAATCGGGGGATGATGAGGAGGCGAAGTCGTTCCAGGCCGACTGCATCTCTTTCTTGCTGCTTGCCATTGTTCAAGAGCCAACGGAGGTGGAGAGTCTCGCTGCTTCTTGCTCTCCGACTTGCTGCTGTCGAGCGCCCTCGCAGCACCCTCGGCGTGAGCGTCGGCAACGGACTTGGGTCTGTAGGCGCAGAAAAGGCTGCAGAGCCCCCGAGCCCCGCAAAATCGACATCCCTTGGAGGCACATGCTTTACTTCCGCAAGCTTCCGCTGGCCTTCCGCCAGCTTTCGCTGGCGGAGCCGCCACCGTTTAGTTTCGCTGCTGTCCCCCGATTTCCACCGAACCGCCGTCGCTCGGACGTCCACTCCACGTGCAGGTTTTGTCTTCGTGCGTGCGTTTCTTGTTTTTGGCAAGAGGATCCACAAGGCTACTCTGTGGTCCTCGCCGGGAAAACAATGCACGCGTCCGAGCGATGCCAAGCGGAGGAAGAGAGGCCACCTTCTCTTCGCTGCCCCGATTCGCAACCCGCACCACGTAGCGCATTGATGCGGAACTCAACATGTAGACTGCAAACGCAAATCTGACGCGATGCGCTCGCCAAAACGTTGGCCAATAAGTCTTGAGTCAACACGGAACGTATTGCCACCGACGTCTTGAGCAATACTCGTGTTGCGTTTCTGAACGGGCCCCTGGAAGGCGAGAGGCACTTTCGGGAGCGCAGCATGGCGCCACTCAGCGGCAGCGCTACGCTCCCGCGGCTGGGGGGCTCAGACAGGTACAGGGAAGGGACGCCGAGGGCGAGGCGACGGCGAGCAAAAGAGGCACGCGGGGAGGCCAGGGGGACATCGAGGAGGAGGAGGACGACGACGACGAGTCGGAGACAAAACGGGAGGGCGGGGGGAAGCGGGTGATGAGTTGCTGCTGCTGTGATGATAATCATGAGGATGCTGACGGAGAGGGCGAGGACGAGGCAGAGGAGGGACAGGGGGAAAGAGAGACGCAGTCGGGAACGATTGCAGAGTGCACGCGAAAGGACACGAATCTCTTCCGAGGGCAAGCTGTAGACACGTCGCATGGTACTCAGGACACCAAGCTAACCTGGGTTTTGAAGAGTTGACGTGCTAATCAGACCCGCCTGCAGGATGAGTATAAGTATGAGGATGCTTACGCTCCCTTGGACGGCAATGCTTGCTATGACACCACAAGCTCTACGCCGAACAACAACGAAACAAAGGCGAGCATCTGCCCGAATCTGCGGTATGCATCCCCGCGTCATGCAAACTTCGAGGCTCATGGCGTGGCTTTGGCGCGAGAGGCAGGGGCCCGGAGGGAGACTGGTCCTGGGCCCAGGGGCTGTCCCCAGGAACCCGCTCTTCATCCTGACATTCACCCTGGGCATCTTTGCTGATGGTGGAGCCCGAAAGCTACGAACACTTTCCAGGACACTTTTCCTTCGTGGCGACGACGGCATCAGTTCGCTGGATCGGGCTGCACACCATACTCTGTCCACAATTCTTCCAGCGGGGCGCTCTGACTTCTCCTGCGCGCGCATGCGCGACTGGAGGCTCATCGCACGTGAATTCGCACGAGCTCTGCAGTGGCACCACTTTATCTGCATGGCCAGCTCTGGACATCCCGAATACAGTCGGGGCGTTGACCTAAGGAACCCTAAATAAGGAACGAGGCCCATTTTTTCCATAAGTTAAACTTCGATCTCCGATTGAAAACATAAGGGAAACCTGAGGCAAGCTGCGAAACACTTAAGGAACGCGGAGCCCCTCCCCAACGAAAAGGGTTCCTTCTTCAGGGCCCCGACTGTATCAGTTTTATTCCGGCCGCCCTCCGCCGACCTTCCGCGGGCGAGCCAGCACTTTTACTTCCGCCGGCCTCCGCTGAGGGCGAAGCTGCGCCGCAGGCGAGGCCCCGTCTGGAGTGCGCCCTGTGTTTGCCGCCTCGCTTCGGGGGGGGGGGCAAACGGACGACGAAAGCGCCCCATCGGTGCGGTGTCACAGCAGACGAGCGCGTGCAAGGACGTGCGCCCAGGTCGCCCTCGGAAACACCACGCGCGCGATGACCGAGCTCGCTCTGGCCCACTGCGTGCCCCACCAATCCCTTGAACATGCGGCAGCGAAGCTGGAACCTAGCGCCTCGCGCCGTCTGCTTCTCCCTGGGGAGGCCTTCTGCCTCCTCTGTCTTGCCACTGCTGCGCGGGCGTCCGAGACACACCCTCCGGCTCCCTCGTCCTCCTCTCCTCTGTCTCGCAACCGCCTGCGCGGCCCCCTGTCCGCGCCCGCGCGCGCGGGCCGCCGAGCTGGCCGCCCGTCTGGCGCGAGCGCGGGGGACCCCGGACCCCACCGGGGGGCCTTTCCCAAGGGGGGGGGTCGAGGAGGGGGGAGGCCACCTTGCCTTCCAATGACTCAAACCATCCTGGAGCCCACGGGGGGGGGATAAAGTAGGGATTCGTAACCTTTTCTGGCTTCAGCCAGGCCGGTCTCGCCTTTGTGTAGGTCACGTTCGTGTTATGCTTGACGCCATTTGGGCGAACGGCGGATCGAACAAATCGTCGTGCTGAGACACGTCGAAAAAAACTAAGTAGCCCCAGGCTGGCCCTCCGCGGATGCGACATCGCAAAGCCGCTCGAACACGCAATCATTTTGCAACGTGTTGTAACTCTGGAAAGCTTGAGCCCGATCCTGGAGAGAACGCGTTTCACGGGCGCTTGCCTTGGGAACATTCGGCGGCGCGTTTCGAATCGGGGGGGTGCCCCCCCCCCACACACACACACACACTCGGCGCCGTCGATCAAAACCAAGGGGACCCCCCTCCCCCTCAAACCCCCCACCCCTCCCGAACCACCCCCCCTATCCCAAGGGAGGGAAGGTTCAAACCCCCCCCCCGGGCGCCGGCGCTGGCGCCGGCGCTCGCGGCCGCCAGCAGCGCCGACGGCGGGGACGCAGCGACGATGACCAGAGACAGCCCAAGGAGGCGGGGGGTTCAACCCCCCCCCCACCCCCGTGGCGCCGGCCGCAGCGCCGGCGCTGGCGCCGGCGACGGCGGGGACGCAGCGACGATTACCACAACTACCACCACCACCACCACCACTACCACCACCGCCGCCTGAACCCACCACCACCACCACCACCAACCCACCACACAACCACCACCGCCACCACCACAGCCACCACCACCACCACAACTCACCATCACCACCACCGCCACCACAAAAACCCACCACCACGAGCACCACCACCACCACCACAATCTACCACACCACCACCACCGCCGCCACAACAACCACCACCACTACCAGCAGCCCAGCCCACCGCCACCACCAAAAACCACCACACCACCACCACCACCGCCACCACCACCACCACCAGCACAATTTCCACAAACCACCGCCACCACCACAACCCACCACCCCCGAAACCAGCACAAACCGCCACCACAACACCACAACCATCACCACCACAACTCACCATCACCACCACCACCACCACCAATACCCACCACCACTACCACCACCATCACAATCTACCACGCCACCACAACCGCCACAACCACCACCACTACCAGCAGCAAAACCCACCACCACTACCACCACCACATCACCACCACCACCGCCACCACCACCACCACCCCCACAAACCACGGCCACCACCACAACCCACCAGCACCACCACCACAAACCACCACCACACCACCACCAAACAACCATCACCACCACAACCCACCACCACCACCGCCACCACCACCACAAACCACCACCACACCACCTCCACACCACCACCACCCACCACCACAACCACCACCACCACCACAACAAACCACGACACCACCACCACCACAACCACCACCACCGACACCACCACCACCACAACCCACCACCACCACCACCACCGCCGTCCTCGTCGACGCTCCCCGCCGCCGTCGCCCGCCGCCGCAGGCGCCGGCGCCGGCCCAAAAAAGGAAATCGTCGTCCCCGCCGCCGCCGCCAGCCGCCGCCGACGCAAGCGCCGGCCCGAGGAAAGGGGAAGCAGGGGGGGGAAGGGGGGGGGTTTCGTTTCAACCACCCCCCCTCCAAGCGACGACGACAGAACGCGCTCTTTCCGATCTTGGTAAGCCTTACCGAGCCGTTGTTCTGCGATTTTCTCGTAAATTTCCATGCAATCTGTGTTGACGCGGATCTGTGTTGACTTCGGTCTGCCCATCGCTTGCCCTGTACGTCCACGGGGCCCAGAACGCCCTCCTTGCCGTTGAGGGCCGGACTTGCTTTCAGACCCGCGAGACGGACGCGGCTGCCCTCCTGTAGCTAAGCTCGTGGCTCTCGTAGCTCCGCAGGTGTCCCCTGTAGCTGAGCTTGTGGCTCTCGGAGATCTGCTTCTGGGCCTTGCAATTGGGCTCGTCGCATTAATAATTCAGCAGGAAGCTTTCGCAGTTCTCCCAGTAGCCCGCGTAGTTCTGGTGGTGGCCCTGGTAGCTCAGCAGGTGGCCTCCGTGGCTCTCGTAGTTCAGCGTGCGGTCTTCGGAAGACTACCTGTGATGCTCAAAATCCTGCCTGAGGAACTGGTGAGTCAGCGCGTGGTCCCAGGAGCTCAGCACGTGGTCCTCGTAGCTCAGCTGGTAGCTGTCCTTGCTCAGCAGGCGGTCCTTGCATATCAACTCGTCGCCCTAGTGATTCCACGGGAGGCTCTCCTAGTTCTATTTGTGGCCACGTAGCTCCGGTAGTGGTCCTCGTAGCTCTTTCTGTGGCCCTCGTAGTTCAGTTGGTGGGCCACGGAATTATGTATCTGGTCCTTTTCGTTTAGTTCGTCGCCCTAGTCGTTCTACAGGAGGGTCGTGTAGGCCTTCCTGTAGTCCGCGTCGCAGTGGCGGTGGCCGTGGAATCTCAGCAAGTGGCCCTCGTAGCTCTCGTGGCTGTGCCTGTGGTCCTCGTAGCACAGCTGGTGCCTCCGCTTGATCAGCTGGTGGTCCTCGTGGTTTAGTTGATGGCTCTCGTAGCGCAGCAGGCGGTCCTCGTGGTTTAGCTGGTAGTTCTTGTAGTCCTGCTTGTGGCCTTCGTGGCTCCGTTCGCGGTCCTTGTTGCTCAGCTTTTGGTTCTCGTGGCTCGGCAGGTGGCTCTCGCAGCGCTGCAAGTGGGTCCTGTAATAGTTCTGATTGTGGCCCTTGTAGCTCTGGTTGTGGCTCTCGTAGCTCAGCTTGTGGTACTCGTGGCACAGCTTGTAGCTCTCGTGGTTCAACTAGTGGCTCTCGTAGCCCTGCTTCTCGTAGCTCTGCTCGCGGTCCTCGTAGCTCAGCTTGTGGTACTCGTGGAACAGCTTGTAGCTCTCGTGGTTCAGCTCGTGGCTCTCGTAGCCCTGCTTCTCGTAGCTCTGCTCGCGGTCCTCGTAGCTCAGCTTGTGGCTATCGTGGCTCTGCTGGCGGGTCTCGTAGCTCGGCATGTGGGATTTGAAACTCTTCAAGTGGCTCTCGTAACTGTGCGCGCGGTCCTCGTGATTCACTTAATGGTCCCCGAATGTCGTCTGGTGGCCCTGGAAGCCCTGCTGGTGGCCGTAGCAATTCAGAACTCACGCTCTCTTCGTAGTCGCTGGGGTCAGAGTCGGAGTCATCGGCTGCCAAGTCGTAGTGTTCTACGTTCTGGGTAACCCTGTAGTCCTGGCGGTCCGCCGTAGTAGTTTTGGGGGTCGTACCGTTATCGGACACGCTGTCGTACTAGCACTCGTCGTAGGCGGCGCGGCCGTAGTCGTGTTCGTCGCGTGCAGCGTGGCCGTTATCCACCGGTACCTCCACGACGACGTACTTAGTAACCCTTTCGGGCTGCTCGGTCGTGTGTTTCCTGGTATCAGTTTTGGTGGCGTACTTGGTGTCCTTCTTGAGCTGCGTGTTGTGAAGCTCTTCCCCGGGCTGCATGTTACGCAACTCTTTCTCAGGCTGCACGTTACGCAGCTCACCCCGTCCTATAGGGGACGCCACGAAGGCCGTCGTAGCGATGGTCATGATGTCGTTGAGGTGTTGTTGTAGCTTGCGCCGGATGAAGGAGCCCGTTCCTGGAAGCTCAATGTGCCCGTATTTCTCTATGCGAATATAATATCGGCAGATTGCCGGCAGTCTCCACCGAAGTGGGTAACTCTCGTCGCCGACGCTGCGGATGTCCAGTTTGTAGTTCAGTTGCGCGCGCCACCCATGGGGCGGCCCGCTCGGGCTGGCCCCCCCTGCGCGGGTGGCGGGGGGCGTTCTCCCGCCGCAGGGGCCGAAATGGCCCTCCTCTACAATTGCACAATCTGAATACGACGAGCCTTTCTCCCCCGACTCCCCAGGTCGTAGCCTGCCCCCCTCTGCGTCGTGTCTTTGCACGTAGGATCCCCCAACATGGTCGATAACATGTGTGTTTTTCCTATGCGAACGTTTTCGGTGTTTCCGGAATGGCACTTCAGCTACAGCGTTGGCTCCATCTTCTAGCTCTCGGTCCTTCCAAATCATACTCCCACTGCGAAGCTGACCTCACTTCTTTGTTGCGGATCTTCTTATCCGTGTTCCCGCTACGACACTGGTCTCATTTAACGCTTCCCCTTTTTCCCGAATCGTCCATGTACATCTTCGTCTCGCGTCATGCCAAATTTCTCTCAAAACCTATTGTCCAATTGACTAAGGAGTCATGTTGACCAACACCATGCTTTGCGTTGCAACGCGTCGCTACTCAAATCCACGCTATGCTGTAACATGTTATGCTCTGCCGTGGTCTTCTACGCCGCCCTACGCCGTGCACTACCATGCATCGTGTACCCTCTCCGGACCATCGCCTTGCTCGACGTCCGACAGTGCGAATAGAGCGGAGATCTACGCCATGGGAAGGGATGGGAGGGAAGGGTAGGACGTCAGAGGAGACGCTTGCGCACCTGGCTTGCGTCCTCCCGCTCTCCTTCATCTTCTCCCACAACGACGGCAAGATGAGGACACACTGGGGTGAGGAGAAATCCGGAATCTCTCATAGCTGGCGGGTGTGTGGGACGTATCGAGCGGCCGTTCCAGAGCGCTCCTGGACGGTCTGAGAGCGCTCCTGAACTTTCCCGAGCGACCTGTCATCATGCTAGAGGGCTGCTTGATCCTCCTCTCCTACCCCGAGCCTCCCCCCTCCCCCTCTTCTCACATCCTCTCCCTCCTCCTGAACGAGACAACGAGGCTCACTACCACGAGTTTTCCGCGAGCCTCGTGCCAGAGGCGCCAGTGCTCGAGGGATGCGCCTGGCGTCGGAGACACGCAACCGATTTGGTACCTCCCTTGCCCACCCAAATCCTCCCCTGTCGTCCGACCCGAACAAGATTCGAGCGTTCGTTGTTGACCAGGGGCGAATAATCTTGGGGTGACGCAACGTGCACATTCCGTGCACCTGTTGGTCCCGCGGTGGCAGCCACGAAGCCATTTTAGGCCCCATTTGGGCTGCTTTCCTGCGGTCTTCGATCCCCCCACGTTTATGGCCCTCCCGTTGCCGTCCGGCCGCAAGAAGGCGGCGGCGGCGCGACCCTCCGGGACTGGAAGCCGGCGTACTGGTACAGCTTCTCCGAAAACTCACCGCTCCAAGCGTGGATGGCGCGGGCGCGGTTGAACTCGGCACGGGGTGGGCGAGGGTGAAAAGGACGAAGGAGGCGGTTGAGGAGGAAGAGTGAGAATGACTACGAGGCGTGAGGCAGAACCAGTCAGCATCCAATCGGGGAGTCGGAGGAGGAGGAGGAGAAGCCTCAAGGTCGGACGAAGAGGAGGAGGACCAGTGCAAATCCAAGAGTCAAGAGTCATCGACGATGTTGGAATACACCCTCCCTCCAAGTTCCCTCTTCATAGGCCCCTACAACGGTTCAATTCCATTGGGGGAACTACCTTGTTGGAAGACAGCCGTTTGCAGACTCGGAAGTATGCCAAAAGATTGTCCCCGGGATTCCAGCGCCACGGATCAACCTGATTGTTGCGTCTTGACGATCCTGAATCGCGCCAGGACGCCATTCCTGGGACTTCAACACCGCGAAGCAACGTAATTGTTGCACCCGCGTAATGCTGAATCCTTCCAAAACGCCATTGCTGGTACGTTGATCATGGGAACCAGTGAACCTTTTGCACACTTTATAAACAAATGTGCGCGGCGCTAAGGCGAGAACCACATTTTGATAAGGAGCCACTCCCAATCCGTGAAACTCTTGCAGATGTTGAAACGAGTGTGCGCGGCGCTAAGGCGAGAACCACATTTTGAAAACGATTCGCCCTCAACTCGTGAAGGTGTTGTACGTTTTTGAAATGAATGCGCGCGGCGCCAAAGCGAAAGTCACATGTTGAAAACGACCCGCCCTCCGTGTGTGAAACTGTTGCCAATGTTTCAACTTCCGAGTCATAGGTGGCGAGGAAGTCTCAGGGGAAACGCCTGGCCCGACCTATAAACTGGCCTCGGGGTGCGACAGGGAAAATTAGTCATAAGGACAAGGAATGTAGGAGGAGGAGAAAGAGGAGGAAGAGGAGGAGGAGGAGGAGGAGGAGGAGGAGGAGGAAAAACGAAGAGACAATCCCCATAATCTGGGCGCGAACGAACGCGTGCAACACCCCTGGACGGCGCCCGCTTGGGTGGCTCAAACTTTATGCCTGCAACACAGCGGATATCATAAAACTCTCACGAGAGACGCGTGCAGGGCCTCAAACGGAACGGGCGCTTCGCTCGAGACACCCCCACAACCTGGAAACGAACGAATCCGTTCAACACTGGTGGTCGGCGTCCCCTTTTGGCCCAAATGCTATGAGTCCTGCATCGGAGAGAGACGCGTCCACGGGCGAAGACGGGCGTTTCGCTCGAAGCATGCCGACGATATGGACGCAAACTTGCCCGTGCAACACTCCTTGTCGGCTGATTCTTGGAGTGTCCTCATGCTTTGCCTGCTGCACCGCGGCAGTCATGGGGATTCCGAGCTTGAGTGGGCAATGAGAGACTGAGTGTGGGTGGGTCTGTGTCTGAGTTTGTGTACCAATGGGTCAAGATGTGGGTATGGGTATGAATCTTAAGACGAGGCTCGAGCGTGGGCGGTCTTGAATCATAATGGCAGAATGTAGGTAAGTTCTGCTCGAGTTCAGCATGAGCGCATCCGAATGTGAATGGTCTGAGTGCGCGAGTCTGATGAAAGTGAGTGAGTCTGAGTGCAACGTTGTCCAACGTTGACAGCAGCCGCTGTTGGACAGGCGACATCTTGCCTCAAATGGGCAATGCCCGCGGCGACGCTTGCAGCGAACCCTGCTCAACATGGGCAACAACTGCTGTCGGTCCTCCTCCCCAGATCTTTCCGTACAGTCGTCGTGTTACCCTACGGGCCGCGGAGTGAAGAGTGAAGAGTGAAGAATGGGAGGGGGAGGAGCGGGAGGGGGAGGAGGAGGAGGAGGAGGAGGAGGAGGAGGAGGAGGAGGACGAGGAGGAGGAGGAGGAGGAGGTGGAGGAGGAGTAGGAGGAGGAGAAGGAGGAGGAGGAGAAAGAGTGAAGAACGCAAAGGGCTCCTCCGGCCGCGACTCGCCGTGGCCACAAACAAAAGTTCCGCGACCGAGGCCGAAGACGCGGCCCGAGAACCAGAACCCCGCCTGAGCCCGAAGTGGCTCTCACTTCAACCTCTCCACCGTGCCCATTTCGGCTGTGCCCAGCACACCTCCTCCTCCTCCTCCTTCTCCTCCTCCTCTTCCTCCTCCCTCCTCCTCCTCCTCCTCCTCCTCCTCCTCCTCCTCCCTTCTCCTCCTCCTCCTCCCCCTCCTTCTCCTCCTTTCTCCACCTCCACCGGGGCCCGTCACAGAGCGCGGCCAGGGCGTCAGAGGTGGCCGCGCGCTGAGTGGCCCGGGGCGGCCGCGCACGCCTCCGAGTCGCCCACCGACTTGTAGCGCTTCACGGTCCTTCAGCGGCAGGAGGGCGATGACGATGACGACGGCGACAATGAGGCTGATCGTGATGATGAAGATGAAGGTGAAGATGACGATGATGATGATGGTGGTGATGATGATAATGGTGATGGTGATGGTGATGATGATAGTGGTGATGGTGATGGTGGTGATGATGATGCAGATGATGCTGATGATGGTGATCGTAGAGATGCTGATGATGGTGATGCTGATGATGGTGATACTGTTGGTGATGCTCATGGTGATACTGATGATGATGATGATGATGACGATGATGGTCGCGCCCTCCCCAGTGCGCAGGTTATCCTCTGGTGAGAGCCGCCCTTGCAGCTCTCCTCCTCTTGGCGATAGCACGAGCGCGGGCGAGGAGAAGGGCGAGGACACACTCGAGCCCCCACCTGTCATGTGCCTGAAAGGCGTCGAAACTTGTATGAAAAATGAACAAGGTCATGCGCAAGGAACACAATACGCACCGACGTCCAGACAACTCGGCATCGTGCACACTACTCTGAATGCAAAGAGCAATCGTGACTACTCCGAGGGCGATGGGGAGACGAGGGACCAAAAAGGCACAGCAACAGGGCACTCGAAATAATGAAGAAGCGTGTCCGTTCCCGCGGCGTGGCATCCGTACCTTCATGAATGCTGTCGACCTTCCTGGCAGACGCGCACCGCGCATTACAGGCGCTTCTGAGCAAGGCCGAAGCCACGACGGGATCCATTGTTGTACAGGTTAACCTGGGTCTGAAAACCACAAGGTTGATATTTGTGCGACCGCTGCACTGGGGAAAGGCATGGCGGACCCCGGGCGTGAGCCAAACACATACAGGCCCAAAGGGGAACTCAGAGCGCAAATTTGTCAGCACCTTCCCGTGGAGCTCATGCGCGTCCTCATCATAGGTCATCCACGGGGGGAGGTCAAGCTCGTCTACTTCTGAATAAGATCCGCGAGCGGATGGCATCTCGAAGCCTGGTCTCTTGGTTTTCCAACGGAAGCAGCCGACAGGACACAGGAAAGCACACGCAGTCCAGGTTCATCAGAAGCTGGGAGGGCGGGCTGTAATGTGGGCCAGCTGGCAAAGTCTGCAATCCTTTCACTTCGGCGCTGGGCATCTCAGACGGTACGAAACTCAGCTACGTGACGAACTTGGGGACGGAGAAGGCGAGGGACATGTGCGCGTACACGCTTCGCGTGAGTCCGAAGCCGAGTGCTGTACGCGCCCTAGGTACTTCTGAGCGGGCGCCTCCCAGGTCCTTAAACGCCTGCCCTCCAGGACCCATGAACACCCCCAAGAATTTCCCGCATGTGCGATTCTGAAAGCTTCGAGAATGAAGACGAACATGCCGAAAGAGGGCCTGGTGTTATTCATCCGTGAGATCGCTCACGTGCACGATCATACACTACACAAGTTGAGCAGCAAACCCGTGCACTGGCTGGCGCGGCTGATAGTCTTCAATGCCACTGGCACGGCAGAGCAAAGGTCGGCAACTGAATTCTGAATCTTGTCAGCGAAAACCCTCGGGATGGCGGCTCAGGTCGTCAGCTATTTTTCCGACAGCCGGAGCAGCGGACCAATGCAGGGCGCGAAAAAGGAGTGCCCCAACCTTGTTTGATGCCTGGTGTGATCTCGAAGCCGGGGGAGGTTGCACAGCATAAACACACGTGTGCGTGCATTTGCGTCATGATGGCAACGCTTATGATGATGGTGATAATGATGATGGTGATCATGATGATGATGGTGATGGCGATGCCGATTACGATGCTGATGCTTATGCCACCGATCTGCTGATCTTATGACTTCCTGGTAGTGATGAAAATGGAGATGTCGATGGTAATGCGAAGTACTCCGTCGGAAGGACCCCACACGAGAATCTGTTTAGCTTGCCCTTACCCTTTTCCTTCTCGCCCTGACGGACACTCTTCTCTCGCCCGCCGTTCTGCCCTCACCTACCCCCCCTCCTTCTATTTATCCTCCTCCTCCGTCTCCATTTGCGAGCAGGAGTTCACGTGGCAGGGCTCGGGGTCGCACGCCGTGCGCCGCTCGGGGTTCACTCTGACTCACGCGTCCTACCTCACTTCCACGCTGTCGCAGGGCCAGACGCTCCGCAAAGGCGTCACCATCGACTGCGCGAGGGACGAAGACGCTGGCCGCACCAGTGGTGCACCTCTACGTCGGCCTGTTGGGCGACCAGTGGTGGCTGCACCTCTACGTCATGCTCTCCCACGCCACGTGCATGCGGAACATGCTGATCCTGCGGCCGCCCTCGCGCGAATTTCTGGAGCGCGGGCCGCCGGCTTCCTTGCGGAAGGCGCTCCGGGAGTTCGACAAGAGAACGGAGACGTCCAGTAATTACAGGTTGCCGATGACCCGCTCGGATTGCCAACGTGAAATGCGGGACCCATAGGGGAGGGGCTCCCGCCTGAGACTTCCTCACATTTCACTCACAGACGAGGCTCCCGCTTGATATTTCCTCCAAGTTCAAGCCTGGGGAGCCCAAAAATGACGACAGTTACAGGTTGCCGATGACCCGCTCGGATTACCAACATGAGCTGCGGGACCCCTAGGGAGGGGGCTTCCGCTTGAGACTTCCTCACAATTCACCCACAGACGAGGCACCCGCTTGATACGTCCTCCAAATTCAATCAAGCCTGGGAACCCTCAAAAATTATAACAGTTACAGGTTGATGATGATCCGCTCGGATTCCCAACATGAGCTGCGGGACCCATACGGAGTGGGGGTCCCGCCTGAGACGTCCTCACATTTCACTCACAGACGAGGCTCCCGCTTGATACTTGCTCCAAATTCAAGCCTGAAGAGCCCAAAAGTGGCGACGGTTACAGGTTGCCGATGACCCGCCCGGGCTGCCAACATGAAGCGCGGGACCCATAGGGAGGGGGCTCTCGCTTAAGACTTCCTCACAATTCACTCACAGACGAGGCTCCCACTTGATATGTCCTCCAAGTTCAGGCCTGAGGAGCCCAAAAGTGACGACAGTTTCAGGTTGAGGATGACCCGCTCGGATTACCAACATGAAGTGCGGGACCCATAGGGGGGGGCTTCCGCTTGAGACTTCCTCACAATTCACTCACGGACGAGTGCATGATGACGAAGTGAAGAGTGAGTGATGATGATGAGTAAATGAGTGATGACGATAATGACGAGCGAGTTAGTGAGTGAGTGATCGAGTGATGATGATGGTGATGCTGATGGTGATGCTGATGATGATGAGTGATGATGATGAATGATCGTGCGATGCTGGTGGTGGCTAGTGGTGATGATGTGAATGAAGTGATGAGTGATCGTGTAGCGATGATGATGATGATGATGGTGATCGTACGATGCTGATGATAATAGGGGGAAAACTAACCTACCTCGCTTTTGACCACCCTCGCTTCCAAGAGATACCAAACGATGCCAAACTGCAGCCTGTACTAGTCAGGCCGCTTGACGAGGAGGCGCGTGGTATGGCTTGGTTTTGCCCGGAAGCGAAAGCGGTGTAGGTAATTCGCGCTCTTAGATAATGAGTGTTCGTGCGATGCTGGTGGTGATGCTGATGCTGATGCTGATGCTGATGCTGATGATGATGATGATGATGATTATGATGATGATGATGATGATGATGATGATGATGATGATGATGATGATGATGATGAGTGGGGAGTGATGGTGATGCCGGCGCGGCCACAGCGGCCACGCAGCATGCCGGCGCCGCCGCCGCCGCCAAGGCGCCGATGCACGGCGCCGGGCGTGCCGCCCGCGCCGGCACCGCCCGAGCGGGGCATCGCAAAGGCGAGGGCGCCGCGAGCGGGAGGGTGCGTGCTTCCCCCCCCCCTCGCGCGTCGCGGCGGATGACCCGCTCGGATTACCAACATGAAGTGCGGGACCCATAGGGGGGGGGGGTCCGCCTGAGACTTCCTCACAATTCACTCACAGACGAGTGAGTGATCACGATGTGATGAGTGAGTAATGACGATGAGTGAGTGAGTGATGATGATAATGATGAGTGGGTCAGTGAGTGAGTGATCGAGTGATGATGATGGTGATGCTGATGATGATGATGAGTGATGATGGTGAGTGGTCGTGCGATGCTCATGGTGACTGGTGATGATGATGATGATGACGAAGTGATGAGTGAGCGTGTAGTGATGATGATGATGGTGGTCGTACGATGCTGATGATGATGAGTGATCGTCCGATGCTGGCGGTGATGCTGATGGTGATGATGATGATGAGTGGGGAATGATGGTGATGGTGATGATGATGATGAGGAGGCAGAAGCAAGGAGGAGGAGAGGAGAGGGAGGAAATGGAGGAGAGATCCTGCGCGGAGGGTGTGCAGAGAAAACAAGAAAGCCACTTAGGATGTGAGAAAATAGTAATGATGTTGTTGATGATGATAATGATGATGATGGTGGTGATGATGATGCTGATGATTATGAGCATGATGACGATGATGATGCCGATGAGTTGTAATGATGATGATGATGATGAGGAGGAGGAGGAGGATGATGATGATGACGGTGATAAACATGATGCTGATGATGACTATGGTGATGATGATGATGCTACTGATAGCGATGCTTATGATTGTGATGTTGATGATGCTATTGATGATGATGACGATGACGATGAGGACGACGATGACGATGACGATGATGATGAAGAAAACGCTGATGCTGATGATGACGACGACGATGACGACGTTCACTGTCTATAGAGGGGGAGAGTGGAGGGGGCGGCCAGGAAGGGCAGGCGGCGAGAGGGGAGACACCAAGGGCGGGGAGGGGGAGCATAGCGATGACGATGACGATGACAGATGTTGATGATGATCATGGTGATGATGCGGATAATGAGTTATGATGAGGATGAGGATGTTGACGATGACGATGAAGATGATGATGATGCTGATGCTGATGATGATGATGATTACGATGACGATGTTGATGATGATCGTGGTGATGATGCTGATGATGAGTGGTGATGAGGGTGATTATGTTGACGATGACGATGATGATGCTGATGATGATGATGATGATGATGATGATGATGATGATGGTGACGATTATAATGACGATGATAATGAAGATGAGGAGGAGGGAGATAAGGATGACGTTAATAAGTATGATGATGCTGAGGATGATGATAATGATGGTAATGAGGATAAGGATGAGGATGAGGATGGTGATGATGACCATCATCATCATCATCATCATCATCATCATCATCATCATCATCATCATCATCATCATCATAACCACTGTCTGTGGTGGGGGAGATTGGAGGGGGCGGCCAGGAAGGGCACTCGGCGAGAGGGGGCAAAACGAGGGCGGGGGGGAGTCAGTCTGAGGGGAAGCAGGGCTACCCTTTTTACACCCAGGTGGGCTTGACGAACGCACCTGGGGCCAGCGGCATGGCCAACGCCTCCGTCAAAGTCAGCAAGATAATGATGATGATGATGATGATGATGATGATGATGATGATGATGCTGAGGATGAGGATGATGATGATGAGGATGAGGAGGTGGAGGCGGAGATGGAGGTGGTGGGGGAAGAGGAAGATTGAGGATGGAGGTTCTGTAAGCAATTTTTTCCGGAAGGCCGTACAGAGAGCGCAGGAGGGACGGGCGGGACAAGAAAGGGAGGAGAGGGGGAGGAGGGGAGCAGCAAGAGGCAAGAGAACAAGCGTGAGAAGGGGGGGGAACGGGAGAGGGCATGGAGGAGCAAAGAGGTGGGACTCCAAGGGAGGGGGTGGACGAAGGATGAGAGACAAAGGGGAACCCCTGCCGTGGAGGTACTGGAGGAGATGATGCTGGATGAGGGGCGACGATGGCTGCGGCGAGGACGGAGCGGGGGGTACTTGAAAGCAGCGGCGAGGGCAGAGATGACCAGGGCGAGGCCTCACGCACGCCAAGGCCTTGGGCCCGAGAGAGCCGACGGAGGCCACGCCATGCTAAGCCTGAGGCTGCGTGCGCCCCCCCAGACCGGTCCAAAGGGGCCTTTTGGGGAGGGGGTTTTCCAGGAGGGGTCCCCCCGGGGGCTTCGCACCCGTTGTTTTGGACGAGGCCCCGCGGCTCCTGGGGGGGGGCTCTCGGGAACACCCCCTGCCCCAACAAAACTCCTTTGGGAACCCTCGCGCCGGAGGCCCCCGGTGGTCTCCGGGCGCCGAAGGCCTCGGGGGGCCGTCAGGGGCCAGAGGCGTCCAACATCTGCTACGGCCAGCGTGATAAAATAAGGAGCGCGTAGTAAGGAACGAAACGGCTTTTCTGGCCACGGCGAGCCCCGGTCACGAAGAGGTTCCCCGACGTAGACCTAAGGAGCGGCCCGAGAACCCGAGATCCTCATGCGCCCAGGGCGGTCCTTATTTCAGCGCCTCGACTGTAGATCCTCGATCCCCTCAAGGCTGCGTCCTCTTGTCGCTCCCCAGTCTCCACATGTGCGCAACCTGCGAGTTGGGCGCCGCCACGATCTCGCCGCCGCAGACCCACATGCGGATCCCCTGGCCGCGCCCGAGGGGTGCTGGAGTCTGGCGAGGCAGCTTTGCGCACGGTCGCGCGCCAGCTCAACAAGCAATGTCGTTCGGCCCCTGATCCTCGACGCTGCAGTGACGGAGAGAACAACGAGGGCAGATCGTGTGTGGACGCGCTTGCGGCACTCGTCCGCTGCTTCGAACTCACCGCTCCAGCGCACAGCGTCTTTGGCGTCGTTGGCCCTCTATGGAAGAGGCCCAAGATGGCCCCAAGAGGCCCCCAAAGAGGGTTCCAAGAGGCCAAGATGGCGCCCGAGACTTCCTCCAGGCTAGCAACAGGCCTTCGAAAGAGCCCTAGAAGCTTCCAAGAGGTCCTCAGGACGTCCCCAACAGGCCTGCAGAGTGTCCCAAAGAAGCCCCAAAGAGAACTCCAAGAGGCAACAAGAGGCCTTCCAAGAGAACAACTCAAGAAGTCTCTAAGATACCTCTCGTCCATGACCCAGACACGGTGGCGGGATGGGCCGAAAGCCACTGAATCCGCCGCCCCCTGCTTGCAGGGGTGCACGGCGTGCTGGATGTTTCAGGTTTTGGTTTTGGTTCTTTTTCTAAAAGAACTCCCCAATGGGCTTCGGCCCGTCCCGCCGGCCACCCGTAATTTTCCCAAAATCCGTCTGTCAATGCCTTTGTTGCCCCAACTTGGCCCAAGATGGCCTCCAAGACGGCCAAGATGGCCCAAGATGGCCTCCAAGATGCCTCCCAGACGGCCAAGATGGCCTCCAAGACGGGTAAGATGGCTCCAAGATGCCTCCAAGACGGCCCAAGATGCCCTCCAAGACGGCCAAGATGGCCCCAAGATGCCTCCAAGATGGCCCAAGAGGCCTCCAAGACGTTCTCCAGGAGAGCCCGAAGAGGCCAAAATCATTGGTTTTCCTTAGGTTTTTGAAGGTTTTTTGCGTTTTCTTCTTTTCGGCCTTCCGACGGCCCAAGAGGCCCCCAAGATCGCCCAAGAGGCCTCCAAGAAGGCCCTATGACGGCCCAAGGGCCCCCCAAGACGGCCCCAAGAGCGCCCCAAGACGGCCCAAGAGGCCTCCAAGACGCCCAACATGGCCTCCAAGACGGCCCTGAAGCGCCCCAAGAGGGCCCCAAGACGGCCCAGAGAGGCCCCCAAGACGGCTCCAGACGGCGTCAGACGGACCAGGAACGCCCTAAGACGGCCAAAGAGACCCCCAGGAAGCCCCCAAAGGCCCCCAAGAGGCCCAAGGAGGCCCCCAAGATGCCTCCAAGAGGCCTCGAAGAGGCCCCCAAGAAGCCCCCAACAGACCCCAAGGGTGCCCCAAGAGACTCCTAACAACCCTCATCCTCCTACTCTATTTCTTCCTCTTCCTCTTCCTGTTCATAATCATTCTCTCCCATGTGTTCCCCGAAAGCTTTCCAAACCGACTCGGGGAACTCATGGTCCGATAGCTTGGCCAAGCTCTAGTCCAACTTTCGGCCACATCGGCGTTTCCAAAAAGGCAGGGGGCGGCGGTGATTCGCCGTAGGCGTCTTCGATCCACCGCCTCCAGTGGCTTGCCACATGGGTGCATGGCGTGTTGGACGTCTGCTAAGTTTTTGTTTTTTTCCTACTGGGCCTCGGTCCAACCCGCTGGCCACCCGGACAGCCGCCGAACATAGAGCCAAAAATTGCCCCAAGATGCTCCCAAGACGATCCAATATGTTAAGATGGCCCAATCGGCCCCGTAAGAGGCCCCCAGAAGGCCCAAGATGCCACCAAGAAGTCCTTCAGGAAAGCCCGAAGGGGCCTAAATCAATGATTTCCCACAGGTTGTTGACCAATTGTTGTTTCTCGTTTCTTGTCGGCCTTCCGACGGCCTATAACGGCCCCGAAGGCCCCCAAGATGGCGCCCAGAGCGCCCAAGAGGCCCCGTGACAGTCCAAGAGGCCCCAAGACGGCCCCAAGATGGCCCAAGAGGCTTCCAAGACGCCCAAGATGGCCTCCAAGACATCCCTGAAGCGCCCCAAGAAGGCCCAGAGTGGCTCCAAGACGGCTTCCGACTGCGTTAGACGAGCAATGAACGCCCTAAGACGGCCAAAGATGCCCCCAAGAAGCCCCAAAAAGCACCCAAGAGGTCCAAGGAGGCCCCCAAGAAGCCTCCAAGAGGCCCCCAGTAAGCTCCCAGGGGGCCCCAAGAGTGGCCCAGGCTCCCAATATGCTTCCTCCTCCTCCTGCTCCTGGCCCTCCTCCTCCTACCTCTCCGGATCCCCCCCTCGTCATTCCCCAAATGTTCCCCGATGCATTTCCAGAGCGGCTGCGTGCATCCGCCGATCCTGTCGGCGGGTGTATGTGTGTGCGCGCGCGCGTGTGTGTGTGTGTGTGTGTGTGTGTGTGTGTGTGTGTGTGTGTCTGCGTGCGTGCGTGCGTGCGTGCGTGCGTGCGTGCGTGCGTGCGTGCGTGCGTGTGTGTGGGTGCGTGTGTGCGTGTGTGGGTGTGTGGGTGTGTGGGTGTGTGCGTGTGTGTGTGTGTGGTGTGTGTGTGTGTGGTGTGTGTGTGGCGTTTCTCCGTTTGAGTCGCCCCCGCCGCCGCCGCTCCCCCCTTCCGCTGGGCGCTCCTCCTCAAGGCGATCCAGCCGGACGGAAGTCGAGCCACGTCGTGACGGGTTCGAAGGGGGACTTTCCCTTGGATCCCTTCCCTGGCGGGGCGGGGGGGGGGGGCAACGGGCAGGGCCCCCAGGGAGGGCAGCGGAGGGGTGGGGTGAGGGGCATCAAGGACGCCCAGGGTGGCATCCAGGACGGCCCTGGAGCGCCCCTGGAGGGCCCCATGACGTCCCATGGTGGCTCCCAGGACGGCTTCCGACGGCGTCAGACGAGCCAGGGACGCCCTTAGCCAAAGACGGCCAAAGAGGCCCGCAACAAGCCCCAAACAGGCACCCAAAAGGTCCAAGGAGGCCCCCAAGAGGCCTCCAAGAGACCCCCAGGGAGCCCCAGGAAGGCCTCAAGAGTGGCCCAACAGGCTCCCAAGAGGCGTACTCCTCCTCCTCCTCCTCCTCCTCCTCCTCCTCCTCCTCCTCCTCCTCCTCCTCCTCCTCCTCCTCCTCCTGCTCCTTCCTCCTGCCCCCTGGGTTTGTGTTCTAGGTGTCCAGGAGTGGATAGATCGTCCCTGACATTCGTGCTGCGTCGAAGGTCTCCAGCGGTCCTCGCATCATGAGGCCGAAAGAGCACAAGCACATGAGGAACCTAGGCCACGAGGTCTTTGGTGGGCGCCCCCAAAAGGCTGCATGAGAACCCGCCTTCAGAAGGTCTTGAAGCGCAGGCCAAAGCTTTCAAGCCCTGAGGAGGGGTACCCCGACCCAGGTGGGGACGCTCGGGAGAACAGGCCGGCGGCCAGCTGCCGCGCACGGCGCTGGCGTGAGCGGCTGGTCGGATGCTAAACTGATATCTCTCAGGACGCTTCGCGAGGTCCCTCGTTGGAGCGAAAAGGGCAGTGTTGCTCACGGCATGGCTTGCGACCCAGGAAAGGTATGTGTGTGTATATGTGTATATATATATATATATATGTGCACGTAGATCCTGTGTCTGAGGCCACGACCCCCCCTGCTGATGCACTATGATGCGGCAGCCGGGGACACAACGATGTCACCGGGGGTGCTCCAGAGGGCCCGAATGGCCATCAGAGATGGACTCTCAGTGCTCGGATGACTGGGCACCGTTGTAAAGGGGCCGATCTCGGCAACGATTCTCTCACTGTAGAGGAGAAGCTGAAGTACGACGTCGACACACACACACACACACTTTGATCGACAACCAAAGCAACTCGTGTTCCCGGCTCACCCTCTCCCCATGTGGCAGGCGTTCAGGATCCTCCAGTACGTTCCAGAGGCTGTGGGCACAACAATTTTATGGATGCGACGCTCGTGCCATGGTAGACTCGAAGGCACAGGCTGCCGCTCGGTGCCTCGTCGATTGTGCGATGTGGCCCCCGTCCAGCAAGCACACGGCTGGGATGCGTAGGTCCGAGCTCTGCATGTTCTGCTCCCCGGGAGCCAGAGAGATCCTGAGACACCCGTCTTACGACTGCGACGGTGCTTCGCGTGTCCCTGGATCCCTCGGGCACGCGACCGAGGCGAGAAGGGCACTGGCCCGCCCGACTGGGACGCGCTCGAGCTGGCGTGCGGCTTCCCTCTTGAAGGCGCGGTGCTCTCTCGAGCCCCCGAATCTGCCCCCGTCTGCTTTGCTCTGCTTCGGGGAAACGCATCTGCGCCGACGGCTCGGGGGCTGGCCGGCAGCAGTCCTGACCTTAGGCGGCGCGGTCGGGCTGCCGTGGAGAGGGGCCCCCGGGGGCTCCCAACCCGTGCGGTGTACGGGGCCCTCCCTGGCTGGCGCCAGGGGCACGCCATCGACCAAGCGCTTTGGCGTAGCCCCGGGGATGCCCAGGTAGCGCTTGACCACCAAAGTGCTGTGAAAAGAGGTCACCAGAGCTGGCGTCTGGTCAAGCTGTGTACGCGTCTACATTCCACGTGGAGGAAGGCTTTCGAGTTGTACAGCGATTCGAAGCTGCGTCCCTCGTTTGTGTGGACCCCCGCTCACCGAGTGGGGATCTCGTGTCTCGAAGGCCGTGCAGGCCAGGATGACCTCGAACACTTCCTCGGGAACATGTGGGCTGACTTTTGTCGCCAGGCTCGGGTCGGACAGTGTTGCAGCACCGACAACGTATACGTTGCCCTGCAGAGACGCCGATTCGGCCAGATCAAGCTGCAATTCGATGTTTTAGCTCGGTGTTCGCAGTCCGCGGCCGCCCTGGCTGACAGGAACGGCCCGACCCCCATCCCATGCTGGCAAGCCGTGTGTCGAGAGCAACACTTGCTCGAGCACGAGATCTGGTTCTTCCCTTCCAGACGGGAGCGGCTCGGACAGAGGCTTCCCTGGCGCAGCTGTGAGCGGGATGCCGACGGGCCTGCGCGCCGACGGAGTATCGTTACGCTCTGGGAGCGCGCACCTTGCGGAGTGTCTGGCGCCGAGGCGGCCCCCCCGGCTTCCGAGGCGGTGCAGATGTCTGTGAGGTCTGCCGACGAGGTCCCGGGCCCCCAAGAGGCGGCGGCAGAGCCTCACCGAGTCGTATTTGAACAGTTTTCGGAAATCGGGCACGACATGGGCAAATCTGGGAGATGGTGGTTTTGCGCGGCGTGCTCAACCTTCTGTATCCTGCCTGAGGGGTCCTGTCGAGGGCTCAGCGCCAGATGGAATGGCAGGAGCACGCACCCTAACACTAAGTCCTCGCAGATCCTGAAGATACCGTGCTTATGCTGCGAGGGGGCTCAACCCCAGAACGGGTGAAGCTATCGTTCGATTTTGATTGGGACTGGCGGGGGGTCGGGCACGGCCCCTGCCGCCTGGCAGGGAGATGTGCTGCAAAAGAACATGGATGGCCACCCCCCTTCCCTTGCCAGCCTCATGCGCTGGTCTCGCTTGACGGCAACCGTTCTGCTGATAACGCGAGCGTCGCACTCCCGAGCCAGCTGGTGGGGCTACCCCTCCTAAGCCGAGACGCTCGCGGACCCCGCTCGCGCTCCAAGGCTGGTCGCCCTCCTCACTCTTATCTGCTGTTGCGGGGTGCGGCGTGTTTTCCTACATGCCTCCAAGCGGCCTCAGACCTGCTCCCAGGTGGCTCCAAGTGGAATCGGAGCTTCTCAGGAAGTCCCCCAAGAGGCCCCTCAACAGAGCCCAAGAGGCTCCCCGACAGAGCACCAAGAAGGGCTCCAGATCGTCAGCGTCGTCGTCGTCGTCGTTGTCCCTTTTCAGGGTCGGCGGCACATGCGGTAAGGCCTTCCCAATGCATAATTCGATAGCTTGGCCAAGCGGGGGCCTAACCATTGGCCACAGAGGCGCTCCCCAAAAAGGCAGGGGGGGCTGCGGTGATTCGCCGTAGGCGTCTTCGATCTGCCGCCCCCTGTGGCTTGCCACAGGGGTGCACGGCGTGCTGGACGTCTGGCACGTTTTTGGAGGTCTTTTGAAACTCTGAGTGGGGTCTCGGCCCAACCCACCGGCCACCTGGCATTTCCAGAACAACCCAACTCCAGTGGCCCGGTCGCCTCTAAGATTGCCAAGATGGCCTCCAAGATGCATCCAAGATGGCCTAGATGGCCCAAGGAGGAGAGCCCAAGGTAGCTCCAAGATGTCCTCCAAGACGGTCCCGAGATGCCTCCAAGAACGCAAGGTGGCCCAACAGAGCCCAAGATGGCCCAAGAAGCGCCCAAAAGGCCCTTGAGACGGCTCAAGCGCTCAAGCAGCCTCCAAGAGGTCTTCCAGGAAGTTCCGAAAAGGCCAAATCATTAAGTTGCCGTAGGTTTTGACAGATTTTGGCATTTGCTTCAAAACTGCCTCCCGACGGCCCAAGACGGCCCAAGAGGCCCCCAACATTGCCCCAAGACCGCCCAAGAGGCCTCCAAGATGGCCCCGTGACGGTCCAAGACGCCCAAGATGGCCTTCAAGACAGCCCTGACCAAAGGGCCTCAAGATGGCCGAGATAGGCCCCCCAAACGGCGTCAGACGGGCCAGGAACGCTGTGAGACAGCCAAAGAGGCCTCGAAGAAGCCCCCGAAAGCCCCCAAGAGGCCCAAGGAGGCCCCCAAGAGGCCTACAAGAGGCCCCGAGGAAGCTCCCAGGACCCCACGAATGATCCAAGAAGCTCCCAAGAGGAGTATTCGATGCTTCTCCTCGTCCTCCTTTGTCCCTCTCCTCGCACTCCTCTTCCTCCCCCACGTGCTCCCAGATGGGCTTGCACAATGGCTGGAGGAACGCATGGTCTAACAGTGTGGCCAAACTTTGCCCGAACGTTTGGCCACGTAATGACGCGTATCCTAAAAGCAGGGGGCCGCGGTGATTCGCCATAGGCGTCGTCGATAGAAACCGTCATGGCGGTCTGTCTGGCTTCCTGCTGTTACACGACAGATGAAGTTTCCTGGACCCTCGTGCAGCCCTTGCGGTTGAAAGCTTCGAAACGGTCAACCTGTGACAAGAATGATTCGCCCGAGATCCCTCGCAGAGAACACGAATGACCTGCGCCGGCCCCGCCTGGTCGATGTTCTCTCCGCCCCAGCCAAGCATCTGGTCGTCGTAGCCGCCGCTCTCGATCCACCATCGGCGAGACATCGCAAGCAAGCCTGGACGCCCAGAAGCAAGCGGGGAGGAGCGATACACGGCCCCTCGCGGTCGGGCCCGGCAGTGCCTAACCCACAGCGCCTCCCAGCCTCGTCTCAGAGGGCCTAGGAGGAGGAGGAGGAGGAGGAGGAGGAGGAGGAGGAGGAGGAGGACGACGAGGTGGAGGAGGAGCAGGATGGAGCAGGGGTGGAATAGGCAAGCCAGCAGTGGCATCCTCCGCCCTCCCGCCGCACGTCCTCCTCACTGGCGGCCCGGCCGCGGACACCTCCTGGTCCTTCGCCGGGCCCCTGGCTGGCCAAAGACCCTCCTCTGCCTCCCTCTCTCCTTCCCCGTGCCTCGCTCTGCGTCGTCACTCCGTCCCTGTTGCCTGCAGGTGACGCTTCCCCGCCACACCACCCAGCAGTTCGGCAGGGCGGTCACGTCGCCTCGAGCGAGGCTCCCCACAACTCTCATCATGCTGGCACCCGAAAAATTCCCGACGTCTTCGTGGATGAAGGGCAGATTGTTCTTTCAACGCCTGGGCCTCGCTCGGGACTCCCTCGCAATTTGCTGCCCTGGCGCTCGAAGCTCATTCGGGTAAGTCGTTTCCCAAATTTGTTTTTTTTTGTTTGCGACCTCATCACACCTGGTAATCCCCACGGCCAGAACTTCCAACGAGCACGCGGGCGGAAGGCGGATGAGCTTCGAAACCTGGCCATCGCTTGAAGCTTCCTTGCCTTGAGTGGGGCCTCTATCTGGGAGCTCCCAGGACCGTGTGGAGGCTGAGTGGCACCATTTCAGAATCGAGCTATCGCTTCAGGCTCCCCAAAAAGTTAGTACACTGACGTTTGAACCTAGCAACAGCCTAGCAACAGCTAGCAGCATGGATGGCGAATACTTTTATAACATCTAGCTGAAGCCTGAGACTTCTTCACACATAGGGATTATGGCTTTGGGAACTTACGATGCGTATGTGAATGCTTAGCGGACTGCTGCCGTGTCCAAGTCGGGATCCCCTTCTGGTGCCCCACAAAGTGTTCTTAAAGTTCCAGTCTGGTGCGTGGATGGAGGGCGATTCCCTGCCATGGTCTGTATTGCCTGCCAAGGGACGCGATCGAACCTCAATCCGATCGTTAATGCGCCGCGTCGAACACGAGGGGTCCTCACCATTCCTCGGGGGCGCGCAACCATGGATCGGGGGGGGGCCTCCCCAAAATGCGGCCGGTGCCGCCTCGTTCGGCGGCAGAAATCCGCGATTTCCCATGGAAACGGGACCCGTCGCTCCCCTTAATCTATGTTTGCAATCGCCTGAAGTCCGCTGCTGCCAGTGCCTGTGGCAGGGCAGCAGGTCGACCTCCAACTTCTCAGCTTTCCCACATCTGGCCCCCCTGGAGCGGCTACAAACCCGAGGGCCGAAACCCTGAAGCAAAAGCGCTGCTATCAATGAAGAGCACATCTGTCAGAATGAGGGGGCCGAACGGTCATTCATTGCCCCTGGGTGCGTGGCTGAAGTGGGAATCCGCGGCGCGACGCCTGCTTGCATTTTCGTGTGTTAAAAATAACTATTGTTGATTCCCCCCTCTGGTGACCACTGTGTTTCTTCTATTCAAGTGCTCCTTCTGGGGCTCGCACCTTGCTTTACAAGGAAAAGCCTGGGGTCACCAAACAGGCCCCTGGCCACCGAGTTGGAACAACAACAACCACAACAACAGCAGCAACAACAACAACACCAACACCAACACCACCAACAACACCAACACCATCATCACCACCACCACCACCAACAACAACAACAACAACGACGACAACAACAACGGTTCCCACCTGATACTTCCTCAACTCATTCCAGAGTCGCGCTCTCGCGCGGCACTTCCCCACAATTTACGCAGGAGATCGCACTCTCGCGTGGGGCATCCTCGTCATCCGAACGTCGCGCCCTCGACCCTCAGGAACCGCGCTCTCGCTCTGGCTCCTCTCGCCGCCCTGGCGGGGTGCTGCATCTACTTTCGCAACAACTTCCTCCCTTCTGCCAACCCCCCGCCTGCTTCCGCCTGCGGCCCCGCCCCGGCCTTACAGTCGAGGCACTACCGGAGGGAACGCCAAATAAGGAACAAAGGGGCTGTTCTGGCCACGGTGGGGCTAGGCCACAAGCAAATCCCGCGGCGTAAATCTAAGAAACGAGCCAAATCCCCAGGTCCCTTTCGAACCCAAAGCGGTCCTTCTTTCGGCGTCTTGGCTGTACTTCTCCGCCAGCCTCCGCCGGCCTTCCGCCGAGGAGGAGCAGCCCAGTCCTCGACGCCTGGACGGCGAGGCGCCCCCTCTTGCAAGAGGCCGCCCCGCGGGAGCTTCCGCTCGGCCCGCCGCGCTGCGGCGGCCCACCGTGGCACGCCGCATGCCCCGAGAGCGGACCTGCGTGCCGCTTCGCTCCGCCTTGGCGGGAGGCGGAAGAAGGCTCGGGACGCTGACGCCTGGAGACGGGGCGGCGACCTGCGTGTCGCGCCGGGGCGTGGCGTGCCAGAGCCGGCGCCGCGCGGCACGCTGAGAGCAGCGCGTGTCCGACCCCGTGGTGCCGTCAGAGTGAGAGGGCAGAACGGTCTCAGACCGCACCTGGGCGCGTGGTTGAAGTGGGACTCCGTGGCGCGTGTTCTGCTTCTTGTCGTCGTCGTCGTCGTCGTCGTCGTCGTCGTCGTCGTCGTCGCCCGCGACCCGCCCGAGGCCCACACGCGACCAACCCCGCGACCAACCCCGCGATCCACCCGCGACCCACCCACATTGCTCTGACGAAAATTTGGCGCCTGCGGCTGGCTCGTTATGTAATGTGTGCAAAAGTGGCGCCTGCCGTAGGCTTCTTCAGAGCCTCGCAGACTGCCGACGACTCCGCCGCCCCCTCACCTTTATCCGCAACTGCGGTGTCTGTGGGAAACCATTCCAGCCCTCTCAGATCTGGAACCACTGGCATGATGGGCGTGTTCTCCACCACCACCACCACCACAAGTTGGAGGGAGAGTGGGGCCTCCTCCTTCTTCTCCTCCTCCACCTCCTCCTCCTTCTCTTCGCCCTCCTCCTCCTCCTCGTCCTCCTGTCGGGGGCGCGCAGCCATGGATCGGCGATTCATGGACTTGAAGCGCGGTCGCCAAATCCATAGATCGGGGGGGGGGGGGGGGGCCCTCCCCAAACTGCGGCTGGTGCCGCCTCGTTCGGCAGCGTAATATCCGCGATGTTCCCATGGAGGCGGGGGGACCCGTCGCTGATCCACGCCCCCTTAATCCATGTTTGCGATCGCCTGACAACTTGCCGTCGCTCGGACGTCCATTCCCTGTGCTTTTTTCGGTTTCGTGCGTGGTTTTGTTCGCCAAATGATCAAGGATGCTCCTCGATGGTCCTCGCCGATGGAAAAAATGCACACGTCCGAGCGATGCCGAGGACAATGGCAGGCCCGTGGGGGGGCCCTCGCCTTCCCGGCGGGCGCTCGCCGCCAGCAGTGGAACGGGGGCGCCTCTCGCCTGACCTGTGAGGACCGAGCCTGGGCTGGCACCGCACCACCAGCGGTGTGCCCTTGGCTGTCGTGCTCGGGTCGTTTCTCCTCCTGCTGCTCCTCCTCCTCATCCATCTCCTCCTGCTCCCCCTCCTCCTCCTCCTCCTCCTCCTCCTCCTCCTCCTCCTCCTCCTCCTCCTCCTCCTGTCTCCTCCTCCTGCTCGGCATCCTGTCTCCTCCTCCCGCTCGTCCTCCTCCTCCCGAGCTCTTCTTCTCCTACTCCTCCTCGTCCTTTTCCCCCCCCTCCTGTCTTCCATCTCCTCGACTCGTCTTTCTCCCTGACCTCATTATTGCCGTCATCTTCCTCCGCCTCTCTTATTCCTCCTCCCTCCTCATCCTCTCCCTCCTCTCGCTCGACAGCAACGATGACGACGACGACGACGGCGATGGTGACGGCGGCTACCCCTCAGGAAAAACATAACATCGGTGTGTAATTTCAGACCCCCCGAAATCATGTTTCCCCATCGTCTTGGATCTGAACTAATATTGCCTCTTAATGTGGGGGAATGGGCCCCATGGCACTGCACAGCCGTAAAACGGAATCCAGGACACGGTGGACTGGGATCTACAGTCCCCCTACAGACTCAAATGAAGTCCACTTGGACACGCGGATTCTCCCGCATTGAAAACAACTATCCGGTTAAAGAGGTGCAGTGTCAAGTTTTACAATGTATATACGGCTGGTTTGCGCCAAGCAGCAGCAGCTCAACCTTCAGGTTTTGGAAATGAAGTTTTGTGCTGCTGCTACGTACTATGACGCAAGAAATGCGTATATGGCAGCTTCTGTCCTTACGACGTTTTGAACTCTACAAGCCCTATTGCACATCTTACAACAAGTAAGATACATGAGGACGGGACAAGAATTCAACATATGACATTAACCCGCGTAAGATGTTAGCTGAGCCTTATGTAACAGACGCTGATGTGATACAGGATACGGCGGTCGCTGAGACAGCGCAACAATGCAACAAGAAGGCGGGCACATCTGAATCGACAGCCGCACTCGAAGGCTCTGAGCTCGACCACGATAACGGGCATCCACGATTGGGACACCCGCAGCTGAGGGCTGAGCCAACGCAGATCTCGAGACTTGAGCAGGGACCGACCGTCCCCGCATTCCTATAGGCCAACCACGACATGTTCGTAGAACCCAGAAATGCTCTAATTACCAAAACAACGTTCTTAGAACAGAACTCAGATGTGTCAAAACAAGACAGTCCCAGCCAGAAACGTTCTAAGGACCGATCGTGCAAACCACTAGCAATTCTTAGAACCTTCTCTGGTAGGGTTATAGGCACGCCAGGACGCTTCGCCACCGCTTGAGAGACAGAGCCCGGCTGCATGCACGCCTGGCTCTGCCAGAGCCCACGCGCACACCCGGCGGGTGCTCCCAGCCCCGGGCCCGCGGACGACGGCACAGGGGAAACTCGCACGGGCTGCCTTCAGAGCTGGCGCCAGGCTTAGGTCGGGCATGTCCCCCTGCAGGCGGATTTTGGACGAAAAATCAAAAATACCCATTGATATTCAAAAATGGCAAAACATGGTCGAAAAATCGTCCCCTGACTATGTGGGGACTATTCTTTTGAATATGCCGCCTGTAGAGGGACAGGCCCGACGTAACGCCAGGCCCGGAGGTCCTACAGTGGAGGCCAGTCCACAAGAAACCTCCCACACGAAACCCAACCCTGAGATCCCAGGACGTCCATCGACTCCGGGTGTGGGAACGCCACGCTCTCCACCGCAAAACCACCGGAACCCCGAGAAACCCAGGGCATCCTGGAGGCAAGCGAGGTGTTTCTTGGCATCGGTCTCCCGTGTATGTCCTCTGCTTGCAGTGCGGGGTCCGTGGAAGTCCCGATCGCACGTGCCGGGGCCGGCGCGCGCCTCCCTCGGTCGTCCCCCCGCGGCCCCGCGAGCCCGGCGCGGACACCCCCAGAAGCCGAGAGCGGGGAGGCAACTTCGCGAAACTTCCTCCTCCTCCTCCTCCTCCTCCTCCTCCTCCTCCTCCTCCCCCTCCTCCTCCTCCTCCTCCTCCCCCTCCTCCTCTTCCCCCTCCTCCTCCTCCTCCTCCCCCTCCTCCCCCTCCCCCTCCCCCTCCCCCTCGGAGGTCTGGGGAGATGCAGCCGCCTCCGGACAGCATCCCCATGTACATGTCGTCCGTGCTGCCGCCCCATTTGAAGTCTCCGTCCCAGGTGACGTAGCACTTGGCCATGCCCCCGCCGCTGCCTCTGCGGCGGGGGTCGGCAGCTCGGGGGAGAGGAAGAGCAGGGGATGGCGATGGAAAAGGAATTAGCCGAGGCACTGACGTGGGGGTGAGGAGAGAAAGAGAGAGAGAGAGAGAGAGAGAGCGAGAGAGAGCGAGAGAGAACGAGAGAGAGAGAGAGATAAAGAGAAAAGAGAGAGAGAGAGAGAAAAAAAAAAAGAGAGAAAGAGAGAAGGAGAGAGAGAGGAATAGAGACATCGCAACGAATCAGGCGGGCCGGAATCCGTGCGGGCGTGCGGGGAGCTAGCGCCCGCTGCGCCCACCTCTTCAGGCGGGATGTGCCGCGCGTGCGTGGCAGGGGCGGTGATAGCCGCATGCCTGGCGCGGTCGGAAGGACCCTGGAGGGAAAACAGAAGCGGGATGTGGTGATGAGGGCGAGACTCGCCCCTGTGCACCCCCGCGAACATAGAGGCGCTGGCGTTCAACGCGCTTGGGCATGCGCGCCACGGAGCCATGAGAAGAGAAGGCGCCGCCTTGGGGCGGCCCCCTCGGCGGCCCAGCTTCTGGTCTGCGGGACATGGTGCCAAGTGTTCGCGCAGCGTGCGGCAAGGGAGGGCGACCACAGGTGCAAACGTCTCCACGGCCTCCCTCCCTCCTCCCTCCTCCCTCCTCCCTCCTCCCTCCTCCCTCCTCACTCCCTCCGCCCTCCTCCCTCCTCCTCCTCCTCCTCCTCCTACTCCTCCTCCTCCTCCTCCTCCGCCTTCTCAAAGGCGAGGCCCCCCCTGCAGGCGCAGCGCTGGGAGCTGGGGGGCCTCGTGCACATGGAGGCGCGGAGAGGGCCTGGAGCGCTCGGCCCCCGGAGGCACAGGCGGAGGGCACGCCTCGGCCCGGCAACCGCGGGGCGCCGCCGCCCGACGGCGACCGCGGCCCACCGGAGGGCTGCACTCGCAGTGGGAGACGACGAGGTCGATGCGGACGGCGCGCCAATGCAGCCCGGGGCCTTCCTCCTCCTCCTCCTCCTCCTCCTCCTCCTCCTCCTCCTCCTCCCTCCTCCTCCTCCTCCTCGTTTTCCTCCTTCTCCTCCTCCTCCTCCTCCTCGCTTTCCTCCTCCTCCTCCTCGCTTTCCTCCTCCTCCTCCTCCTCCTCCTCCTCCTCCTCCTCCTCCTCCTCCTCCTGCGGGACGCACCCTGGAGGAGCAGTGGGCCGCAGTGGCAGAGGCGCCCTGGGCCGACGCGGCCGAGCAGGCGGCCAGGGCCGAGCGGGCTGCCTGCCTGGCGCCACACGCTGGCAGAGGCAGCAGACGGAGCTGCTAGGCGAGCCGACATGGGAAGCAAGCTGCTAGGCTGCTCTGGCAAGCTGCCGTCGCGTCGCCGCGACGGCCAGTCGTTCTCGACATTCTGCTTGAAAGGCGACTCTCTTAGGGCCCGTCGGTGCGGTGAGCATATTGGGTTCAGAGCGCCTTGTTGCCAGTGCAGAGGACTCGAGCTGGCTGCATCAGGCCCTGGGCCTCTGAGGGTGGCAAGACAAGTTGCCAACCGCACGGGGCTGCTTTGAATGCCCCTGCATGGCAGCCGAGGCGGGCGCCCGTTCCAGCAGTGTCGGCGATGCCAGAGCAAGCAGCGGCAGCGGCGCTGGCGGCAGGTGGACCGGCCGGTGCAGCAGGAGCGGCGGCCATGGCTCACAGCCCAGCGGGAGCCCCTCCCGCCCCTGGAACCAGCAGCGCTGCGGGACCTGGCCAAGCGCTTCAAGAAGCGAACGGGGCTGGTGGTGGACAGCTGGCACCCTTCTCTGCTGGAAGGGGTCTCAGGCGACGGCATCCAGGCCTTGCTCAGCGTGCTGGAAGAGACGGACGTACATTGGTGCGGCCGCGCCAGGCGGACCGCATCGTGGTCTTCCTCACCCCCAAGTCGGCCACCCAAAGACAGACCCATCGAACTGATGTCCGCGTCGGTGAGAGTCTGGGAGTGGTTGCGGGCGCACTACTTGCAGCAGCGGTGCCGTGAGCACCCACGAGTGGGACCGCACCGCGGGTGGGCGAGGGCCTGAATCGGCGGCGTGGGAAGTCCTGGTCGCGCAAGAGGCGGTGGACCCGCGCTCGGACGACCCTGATCTCGAGGCCGTCAGCATAACCATCATGGACCTGGTCAAAACCTTCGAGATAGTCCCGCTGGTCAAGCTGTGGGATGCGGGCCTGCGCTGGGGCTTCCCGCCGTCCATCCTGGCAATGGTCATGTCCGTGTGCGCCATGGCCCGCACCCTGGTGGTCGAAGGCTGCAGACGGCCGTCGTGGCGGGTAGCAAGTACTCGGCCGCCTTGCTGCGGATGCTGCTCACAAAAGGGATGGACCTCCTTGTGGCGCAATGCCCGCGGCTCGACTGGAAGCTCTACATCGACGGCTCATGCGCGCAGCAGCGGGGGAGGCAGATTGCCCTTGTCGACGACGTGCCTGAGGCCACGGCAGCGGCCATTGGGCAGTTCGCCAGCGTGGACCTGGCCTTCTCTCCCTAGGCAAGGAGGGCAAGTGCTACCAGCTGGCCAGCGCGCCATGGCTCCGCAGCGCACTCAAGCCAGTCATAGCGAGGCAGGGAATCAAGGTTCAGGGCGCAGGGATCTACCTCGGCGTGGGCATGCCCGCGTCCAGGAAGGCTGGCAAGGACAATCGCAGGCAGAGACTGAGCAGCGTATAGCACCGTTCCAAGAGGCTTTCCAACCTGCCCGGCCAGGGCAGGTGGATGGCGAGTGGAATGGCCTCTGTGTTTCTGTGTTCCACGCTGGCATCAAGATGCCTTGCGTCTAGGGAGCTACATGCCTGGGTCTGGCCGGCACGCAACTGCTGGCGCTCAGGAGGGCCACGGCGCGGTCGCTGTGCAGCGAGCTGGGCGGGGCCTCCCTCGCCCCGCTGCTGGCCACATGGGGCAGGAACGGCGGAACGGGCCACGGCGGCGTGGGAGCGGTCCATCGCGCCAGCGGCGCTCGCCCGAGCGTGGCGCAGGCAGCAGAGAGAGAGAGGTCGGCATGGGAGGCCGCCGGGCGGCCCTGCGCGGGCCAGGGGGTGCGCGCGCGAAGTCGGTGCCGCGCGCGGGCTGGGCCTGGCCTCCCGGCGGTAAGAAAGGTTGACGGTTTACCGCCGGCGCCCAGTTGAGAGACCCGACGTCAAGAGACAATATGATGAATTTGGGTCGGTTTTTGTATCTCTGTGTAAAATTTGAAAGTTCGTTTTAAGAACAGGTATTTTTCCCGCCTGTAGTGGGTTATTACGTGCCGCACGCGGGCACGAGTCCTCTGGTGTGCACGATGTGGGCAGGCATGGAGGGGCAGCTTGCGAGCGGCAGGCACACACGAGCGACGGGCCCCAAGAGGTGAGGCAATATGAGAGCGAGCATCGACAGTGCTGTGTGCTGTGAGGTGCTCTTTGCTTGCGCGAGGTCTGACTCATGTGCGATATGGAGATGCTCCCAGACCCCCTCGAGTCATGAAAAAATCACGACGGAAGGTTTTTCCATATTTTCCGCCTCTGGGGGCCCTTACCGGCCCTCGGGACCGTCAACAAAACGACTCAGGATGAAAAACCGGTCCCGGCGAATAGGTCCGGACCTCTGGGGGTCGCGTCATGAAAAAATCATGACGTCGGGGGTCTGGGCTGGGAGGTGTGATGGCTCGACTTGTGTTTCTGTACATGCCATGATGTAGAGGGCGCGTTGCCTTCACCATCGAAGGCATATCAACGAAGCATCTGACGATACGTTGCACTATCGAAGCAGAGTCTTGCAGCACGTTCTGAGAACAGCAACGCATGTTCACGTTGATCCTTTGACATGTGGCTCTCAGCTGAGGGCCATTGGCTTGATTGCAAAAACTACAATCCTATCATTCGCTGCCAGTTCCATTGTCAGACTTGGCTACCGATCGCTAGGGGCCTGTTGGGAGCCTGTTGGCGGTCCTGGTGGTCATCTTTGGGCAGATGGCTCGACATGGCAGCTCGGGCTCCCCCTCTTGGGCCCATCTTGGGACCCTCTTGGGCCATCTTCGGGGCTTCTTGGTCCGTCTTGGGGCACTCTTGGGCCCAACTTGGGACCCTTTTGGGGGTCCCTTTGGCAGTCCTGGGGCGGCTTTGGGAATCTCTTGGCTTGTCTTGGGCCGTACCGAAAACAGAAAACCAAAGATGCTAAACCACGAACGGTTCCCATGGGAATGTGACTTTTGCTTCTCCGGGCCCCCTTTGGGGACCCTCTGGGAGCGGTCTTGAAGCGTCGTGGACGCCTCTTGGACCACTTGAAAAACACCTTGGGCTGTCGTAGACCTCTGGAAGGGCGTCGTGGGAGCGACTCGGGGCCGTCTGTGGCCGCCGTCACGGCTGTCGAGTGGCTCTCAGATGCGATCGCAGGCCCCCGCAGGCAAGCTGGGCCCCAGTTCCCCCCGTGCGCGGTCCCCCGTTAGATGTATATGTGCATAGAGAGTGAGAGAGAGAGAGAGACGCATATAGATCGAGAGAGACAGGCGAAGAGAGAAAGAGGAGGAGGAGGGAGAGAGAGAGAGAGAGAGGTGGACATAACCAACGGCAAGAAAACTGCCAGGCGGGACAGAAGGCGATGGACGTTGAGACGTTCAGACAATCGTACTCAGATCTCCATTGCTTTTGTCAAGGAGTGCACGGCGCCTTCCAGGATCGTTCCTCTAGCAATCACCCTCTGGCATGTCTAGCTTGCAATCCAGTCGCGGCCTTTCTGCGACCAGGTGTCCACGTCCAGGGCAGTGATCTGTGGAATGACCATGCGGCGATAATTCTCGCCGATGAGCCTAAAGAAATCCTGCACGGCGAACGATGCCAGAAGGATGCATGATAACAAGGGAGAGCGAGAGAGAGAGAGAGAAAGAGAGAGAGAGAGAGAGACAGAGAGGGAGAGAGGCGGATGGCTTCGGGGCAAAATCATCGTCACAAGAACGGGCACACAAATCAAGGCTGCGAATCATCGTGCCCACGTGGTTGGTAATTACCATAACGTGAAACGAACAACTGCTGGGCCCTAACACCGATTCACCTCGAACGACGGCAAGCAATCCCGCACCAGTTCCAGCAAAACTGAAAATCTGGCTGACATGAACACGACCACGGAGCTCGATTCCCGCGCAGGGGGACTCTCACTAACGCGATTCCCACTACCCCTTCCTCTCCGCATCCACCTCTGCCTCTGCCCCCCCGCCTCCGCCCTCTTCCTCCCTCCATGGCCCTCCTCCCACGTCCCCCGCCTCCCAACCTGAAAGCTTTTCTGGACAGGCGTTCGCAAGATGCGCGCCATGCTCTGGCGGAGATCCACATACAGGGAGTACAAGGCCAAGAGCAAGCGCTCGAGCTGAGAACAGCGACAGGCGAGCGAAGTGGTAGGGAGGATGGGGATGAGGGGGAAGGCGACGAGCGCGAGGATGGCGAGAAGAGACTTAAATGCGTCTTACGCCTTGACAGGAGCAAGGTCCCGGCAAGTCCCCGGCAAGTCCCCGGCAAGGTCCCGGCAAGGTCGGGCCAGAGATGTCGGAGCCCTGTTACAGGGCCCCAGGACGGGCCAAGAGGTCCCCAAGAAGCCTCCAAGACGGTCCAAGAGGGCCCCGAGACGGCCAAAGATCGCCCGAAGACGCCCAACAGGGCCCCAAGACAGCCCAAGAGGCCTCCAAGACGCCCCAAGGGCCTTCCAAGAGGCCTCCGAAGAGGGCCCCAAGAGGCCAAAATCGTTGATTTTCATTGTTTTTTTCCATGTTTTTTGCGTTCTGGCTTTTTCGGCTTCCGGACGCTCCAAGACGGCCCAAGAGGCCCCCAAGACCGCTCCAAGACGGCCCACGAGGCTCCCAAGACGGCCCCGGAACGGCCCAGGAGGGCCCCCAAGACGGCCCAAGTGCCGCCCAAGACGGACCAAGAGGCCCCAAGACGGGCCCAAGAGGGGCTCAAGAGGGGAACCGAGAACTGAAAAATCGAGCCCTCCGCCCCAGAAGGCGCCCAGGAGGCCCCAAAAAGGCCCCAAGAGGCCCCCAAGAGGCCCCCAAGACGCCCCAAGAGGCGCCCAAGAGGCCCAAAAGAGGCCCCAAGAGGCCCCAAAACGGCCCCCAAGAGGCCCCAAAACTCGGCTAGCCCACAACGGTGCGACAATATAGGCCGGCGGAATGAGCGAAGCGATTAAATAAGGGTGCACGAGACGAAATCACAGCAGATTGTCCAGCAGGAGGAGGAGGAGGAGGAGGAGGAGGAGGAGGAGGAGGCAAGAGGAGAGAGGGAGGGAAGTTTGGAGATGAAGTTAGCCCCGCGGTCTCACGAGAGGCACAATACACATGGCCCGCGCTGCGCGCAACCAGAGCCATATCACGCACGCTTCACCCGCGAAGAGGATCCACACATATCAGCAAACCAACAGCATCCCGCAGCTCAAGCAGGAGGAGACTGACGCGGTGTGCAGGAGTGCGGCGCGACGGCCCGGATGCTGGACGCGGACGAATAAAAACGTATGCGCGGGAATTTTAGGCAACGGCGCCAGTGGTCCCATCGGCGTTGCTTCGAGCATCATTTGAAGATCAGTCTGAACTCAGTTTCTGGCGAGATAGTTGCATACACAGTCCAGTACAGGCGGGAGAGAAGGGTTTGCAGCAACGCTTCCCCACCTCCGAAGCCGTGCGCTTCAGAGGCCCCACAGTGCGCCGTGCTAGCGGCACGCACCCTGCACTGCTCACGCCTTTGAGCCCAGGACAGACATCGCAGAGGGGGGCGGAGGCGCGAGGGTGGCGAGATGCTGTGCTGTCTGGAAGAAGGAAAAACGACATACACATAAACTTTCGACGCTCCGCGCGGATTTCTTGGATCCGTGCTTCATTTCTCTCTCTCTGGAGTGTGGAGTATCTTAGGGGCGGCGCCAGAGGCGCCGCCAGGGGGGCCCAGCGCGGATCCAAGAAGTCCTCGCGGAGCGCCAAAAGTCGGCGGTGGACAAACCTCCCTTCAGTCAACCTCACCTTAGTGCAAACGGCCTGGGACCGAAACCGACGGACCTGGACCCGCAGGAATGACGGCCGCGACGCCCTCTCGCGAACCGAGAACGGCCAATTCCTTCATCGACGTGTCAGGGCAGGAGGCCGGTCCACCCCGAAAAAGTGTACGCTTGTGTAGTTTTCAGTTCTTCGACTGTCGGCAGCAACACTGAGAGATTTAGGGGCCTGGCGCCGCCGACGCGGTGCGGGAGAAACCGGCGTGCAACTTTTCGCGGGGGGATGTAACTTAGGGCGGGGGCGCCGGAGCGCCGTCAAGAGGCTGTTGATTGGATTCTTGCCGAAGGGGGGGGGGAAGGGGGAGGGGGAGAAAAATCCCTGCACGCTCGCAAAGAGCCCAGGACACCCGACTTCGCGCATCGCGTCCCGCGATGCGCGACGCGGGGTTATCTTCGGTCCCTCCCGCCCTCGCTCCACCCCTGTGGATAAGAGCAGCCGCTCTGGCCCAGGCCGCGACGCGCGAAACGCGGTCATCTTCGCGCCCTCCGTGCACTTGCAAGGAGCGTCCTCGCCAGCAAGCCTGCGCATGGGCCCAAGCCAGACCTCTGGATGCTCAGTGATGACAGGATGGACTTTGAGGGATGAAAAAACGACCCTCCCCTGGGTTACAAGTGCGTGGTCTGCAAACCTCCTGGGAACCCCCAAAGCCTAGAGCCGCCAAGACGCGGCACATCACGCAGAGTTTACCCTGTCAGCCCACAGGAGTTTCAGCGCACAGCGCCTCGTAAACCAGGGTAGGGGCGTTTTTTTATGCCCTTGAGGACCAGCACCGGATCGGAAAATCTGCAGATCGGATCGGAGCGTACGTGGTGCCGGGCTGCCTCGGCACGAAGCCCCGAGCTCGAATCGTACCGGCCGCACCGGGGTGCACAGTGGCTGCCACGCAGGCTCCGGGCCACGTCGGATCGTCGGCATGTCAAAATCGAGCCGTCTCGAGCCAACCCGAGTGGATATCGAATCGGATCCATCGGGTCGTAATTGTCCCAAGCTGGGCCTCTGGAGCAGTGGTGATGGTGGATGCTTCTCCTCTCGGTACGGCCAACTCCATGGGGTTGGCCAACGTTGATCAACCTCTCTTGCGGGGTGGACTTTCACCTGCGCCAGCTTCCGTCTGCCTTCGCCGTCGAGGCCGCCCTTGTTTAGCTTTCCCTGGCCTCCGCGGACCTTCCGCCAGCTTCCGCCGAGGGCGAGACGCCAACCCTTCGGCTCCCAGAAGCTGAGGCCGTCTTTTGGAACGCACTACACAGCGCGCGGGAAACAGTTCGACGTCGGCCATGTCCGGAAGGGCGGATGCAGGGAACGTGAGGGATTGAGAGCCCTCCGTGGCCCCAGATCTCGTCGAGATTGGCAGGTTCCGATCGCCGTCCACAACACCTCCAACATGCTGCAAAATAGACATGTTTCCGCCAGTGACCGCTCCTGCTATTTTCTTGGCGGACGAACAAGAGGCCCGAAGACGAGGAATGATTGCCAGAACCGTTGGGAACGCCTCCAGAAAAGCCAACCAAGCAGATACTCAAGCAAACTGGTGGCAAACACCATCATAACAAAGCAAAGCATCCACCAGAAGTGCGTGGCCGCCCTCTGGAAATCATGGCTGTCGCGGCATGCGTTTGGGTACTCCCAGAGCTCTGCCACCAACACTTGCTTTGCTTGTTTTCGCTTGCTTGTTTCCGAGGGCGCTCCCCACACTCCGAGGGCGTTCGCACAGTGATGGCCGCCCTCTGCGCTCCGCCCTCCTCGCGTGGCAGCGAACTGTGCCGAGCTCTTCCCCTCCCTGGGGAGGCAGGGGGACGACGAGGACCGGAGCCTCCAAGGTTCACCCACGACGCTGTGATGCCGCCTCCCGTCCAAGCGTCCGTGCAGAGCCGCCGCCCCAGGCAGGGAGGGGGCCTCCTCCTCCTCCTCCTCCTCCTCCTCCTCCTCCTCCTCCTCCTCCTCCTCCTCCTCCTCCTCCTCCTCCTCCTCCTCCTCCTCCTCCTCCCCCCCCCCTCCCTCCCCCTCCTCCATCCCCACTTGTCCCCGCGAGCCCTTTCTTTCGGGTTCCGGCAGCGCCCCCATTCGAAAGGCCGGCACACCTCGTGGGCCTGCCACCCGGGCGAGACATCGCCGCCCGGAGAGGGCACTCCGCTGGTACCAGCGCAGCGACCAACAGGGGATGCGCAAGGGCTATGCTGCTCCCATCGTGCTTAAGGACCACCTCCCAGAAACAACTTCGAGCACTAGGGAAAGTGTCGAAGGAGTGCCGAAACGGTGTCGAAACAGTGTCGGACGATGAGTGTCTCCCAGGGCCCGACACGTGAAAAACCCTCGAGTTTTGGGGTACTTTTCTGATGATCGAAATTATTTCTGGTGATCGAGGCTACAGTAGGTTGGAACATCATAACGCAAGGGCACACGTTGGAAGGGACCTCTCAAGCTCTGCTCGGGCCTGCACAGTGTCCATAAGAGCAAGAGCGCAGCTGAGCACAGGAGGGCGTGCAGGCAGCTACGGAGCTCGGACATGCAGAAGCAAGGTGCGGACGACGCTGCAAAGCCCCAGGAAAGCAAAGCACTGACAGCGCGAGTGCCAAATCTGCAAGTGGCCGGGGAGCCCCCGCGCCATGCCCACAAGCGTTGCTCCACCCTGGCGGGTGTGGGCAGGGGACGCGTTAGGTGCACACAGTGCACACAGGGCACCAGCGAGACCACCGTCGCCCAATCTATGGAACTGTTGCACGAGTGTTCGCTTCTGGTCGTGAGCGTCGACGGCGCCTCAGGCGAGAGACCCGCTCTGAAGAAGAACCGCCCTCCGTCCGCGTTGAGGTACCCGGTGCTCAGGGAGGGAGGGAGGGAGGAGGGAGGGAGGAGGGAGGGAGGAGGAAGGGAGGGGGGGGGGGAAGGGAGGAGGGAGGGAGGGGGAAGGGAGGGGGGAGGGAGGAGGGAGGGAGGGAGAGAGGGAGGAGGGAGGGAGGAGGAGGGAGGAGGGATCAGCGATGCCGACGGGCGCGATAGGGCCTCGGGAACCTCGACTGGGCGACGACGCGGCGGGGACATCGCGGGACAGCGACTCTCCGGAGCGGCCTGCGACGCGCGCTCCCGGGCGCCCCCCCCCCCGACGGAAAACGACCCACGGCAGAGCGCGCGCTGAGTGGTGGCCACGGCCGCAGGCACGATACACCCTGCGAAATGCTTTAAGAAATCATGGGTTAAGAAATTCATAGTCTCAGAACTTGAATAAAAAACCGAGCATGTCTATCAAAATCTTAGGATTTACATGGGAACGTTAAGAATAATCGCGACTCTGGCCGAATACTGAAGTTTTCTTAAGCATCGCCTAAGGTGTATGCCGCATCGAATGCTCGCCCGCCGCCGAGGACCGCCGATGGGCCGGCAGGGCCCTTCTCTTCTCGAGCCCTCGACCGCGAGCTTGGCCCGTCGAGCCCCTCGGCTCGCGCCGCCGCGTCGCCGTCGGGGGGGGGGGGGGGGAGGGGCGCTGCGGGTCCTGGGGCCGTCTCTCGTGGGCTCGGCGTCGCGCGGGCCCGCGCGGGGGGGGGGGGGTCGCCGCCGCTCGGGCCGCGGCCTCGAGAAAGCGCGGGTCAACGCTGAGAAACCGATCACGAACGCCAGGGTCGAAACAACAACAACAAAAACGCGCGCGCTGAATCGAAGACGGGGGTCGGGCGGGATCTAACGCGCGCGACCCCTCAAGAAAATCATGTTCCTCTTCTCTCTCCAATGCCGTGGCGACGTCGATCGCGAATCGCATCGCACAGGGGCGCGCCTTGATCGAGAGAGCGCCTGCTGTCAGAATCACCGGGGCCGGCGCGACGGGAAGCCGGCCGAACGCCGGCCCCATTTCCCTGCGGATGTCGCGATGACCCAAATCCGCTTATGGTAAGACCTAAGACGACGAACACATGGCTCCACTCTGCATACCGCTATGCGCACGCGAGCGCGAACCGCCTCATTCATGCTCGAACGATACTTCAGACGAGGTTCGCCATCATGGTCCAGCACTGGCTGGCTCTCGGGATCCAGAACAGGGGTCTCGGCGCGCGCGTCGCCTCCGAGGGGCTCTCTAGCGAAACCAACAGGGGCCCGTTCAAGCTGCTTCTCCTGGTGGGGGGCCATGGTCATCGTAGTCGAGCCCGAGTGGGGCGCCCCCTGCACCGTGGCCCCGAGCGCCGTCATCGTAGACCTCCAGACCGGATTTCTTGTCCAAAGCTTGCCGAGGGAGTGGGGCCCCATTCTGCGCGCTAAAGAAATGTTCCTGAGTTCTCCCTAGACGCCCCCAAATCGCCGCCGTCTGGATCCTCAAGGAAACGATATCGAACTGAACGCATCCCGAGGCAGGAAAGGATCCTCCGGAAATCTCATCGCATGTGATTTTGGCCCAGGCCCGACAAACGATGTAGACGCGTTACTCTCACCAACGTTGTGCTCGCAGCCTCCAGCCGCGAGTGCACCGCGAAGCCTGGCGTGAGACCGCGCGCGCATTGTTCGTGTCGTCGGCATATGCTCTGCACGAGAGCGGCACAAGTCGTTGGAGAAACGGGACCCAGGCCGTGCACCAGGCCTCCGGCGGCCACATATGCTGTTCGACAGATTCACGAGGAACTAATGAAGCAGGAGGTAGAGAGAGCCATGCGCCACGCGAGGTCGGTCGCGGGGGAGGCTGGCTGCCGCGCCAAGATTGTGCTCGAAAACCGTAGAGCCACGAGTGGATCGGCCGGCCCCCTGAAAATCCGAGTGGCAAAAACAACTGCCGCAGTTGCGTCGCCCATGAAGCCGCCGCGCGAGTTCCGAAGAGTCTGCTCCCAATCTGCTGCCTCGATAATAGATTCGCCTGCTTCGTCTCCGATGGAAGAACTTCTGGGTCGCGGGCTCAATGGGCTCCTGAACGGTTTGCCCCGAGGCCGGAAAAGTAAGACACCCGAAAGCATGGGATATGCCCCTCCAGAATAAAGCTTCTTGGCGCGCCGGCGCGCCTTCTCGATTTCTGTCTGGGAGATAGCCGCGCTCACGGTCCAGGACCACGTCGGCGGACCTCGAACCAGCTGGGCCCCATGCCAAGCCACGCTCATCCTACAGTGCCCTTGAATACACGACGGCCTCGGCGGGAAGTGCGCCAGGGGCAGCAGGAGGTCGAACCGCCCGACCGAACTCGGTCGAGCGCAACGCGACCTTGAAACTGCCGAGGTGCTGTGTGAGAACCCGCGATGTGTTCCTGCCTAAACTTCGTCTTGCGCAGCAGCAGTGTGAAATCGCACGGTGAGTTCACATGCAGACCAGCAACCAAGCCACTCCGCAGGGCAATATGATGCCGCAGGTGCGTGGTGACCACGGCCTGTTCACCCGCCCTCTCCTCATTCGACGGCAATGCCACGATGCCAACATGCCTGAATTCGTCCGGAATCTTGGCTAGTCGCAGCTCGTCAGCAGAGGCAACCATCCAGTTCCAATGCCGATACGACGGCATGGCGGCGCGCGCGAACTGGCCGCGGGGCCATCCAGCCCGAAAGCGAATCCAATATAAGATATGCTAGAGCTCTCCGGCCCCAATGTATGGTACTCCTGGGCGAAGGGGGGGCCAGGATGAGGAGGAGGAGAAAGAGGAGGAGGGGGAGACGAGGAGGAGGACGAGGGGGAGGAGGAGGAGGACGAGGAGGATGAGGAGGAGGAAAAGGATGAGGAGGAGGAAGGGGAGGTAGAGGAGGAGGAGGCGGAGGAGGAGGAGGAGGAAGAGGAGGAGGGGGAGAGTGAGAGAGGGAGGCGGAAGAGCACGGGGAAAAAAAGGGAAGAGGAACACGAGGATAATGAGGACTAGGAGGATTAGGAAGAGGAGGTAGGGAGGGAGGAAGAGGAGAAGGAGGCGGAGGAGGGAGGAATGAGGGGGATGAACGATCCCAAACCGACCCCCTGTTACTTCACTGGGCTCTCGAGCCAACCTCCTCTCCTCCTCGCCCGACCAGGGGGAGGCCAGCGGCGCAAGGCTCTCCTTCACCCAGCCGGGCTGCGGGGCCACGTGGCAGTCGAAGAAGGAGATCACGTCGCCGACCGCCGCGTCGCCGCCCGACTTCTTGGCCTTGATGAGGCCCTGGGTGCTGTCGTGCCTCGGGGGGAGGGGCGCGAGCAGGGAGCACGTCCGCGTCGCTGCCCCAGCGGCCGGGGCCTCGAGGCGCGCCTGCCGCGCATGCATGCGCTCCCCTGTGTGCGCGCTCCGCCCAGGGCGCCCGCGCAGAGCCGCCTGGCCGGGAGCGGAGCGCGAGGAGGAGAGAAGGAACAGCTGCACAAACATGAAAACTTGTGGCGCTTCGCGTGGGTGTCTCGGATCTGCGCTGGGCCCCCTCCCCCTGGATCTGCTCTTCTCGGTTCTGCGCTGGATTTCTTGGACCGGCGCCAGGGAAGGGGGTCCAGCGCAGATGCCAGAACTCCGCGCGGAGCGCCAAACATTTATGTTTGAGGCGATGCTTCGAAGGCGAGGAGAGCGGTCCGCTGGCAGAGGAGTCGGCCGCACAGTCGACCCGCAGAACAGGAGCGCACGATGAGGATGCGAGGGGCCCTTGAAGGCCATGTTGACGCTGTGCGAGCGGGGCGCGGCCAGCGACGGCCCAAAGGGGGGGCCGAAAGGGAAGGGATGCAAGGGCAGCCTTGAGAAGCCGCTCATCCGTAGCACGGTAAGGGCATTGGATAAGGAACCCTTGGGTCAGGAATCCAGGGCCTGGAAGGCAATAGAACCCCAGTCGTGGATTTCCCATGGAACGTACCGCCGCACTCATAAGAGAAGGAATCCTCCAGGACTCCAGGGTCTGAAGCCTCCTGGGCACATTCCTTAACCAACGCCCCTACCGTATGCTCGGCTGCACGCAGGAGTGACCCCAGGTGAGGGTGACCTCTGAGGCGCGGCTTCTGGAGGTGCGGCGGGGGGACCGAGCACGAGCGAGCGGAACGCTGCCATCGCCCGGCGTCCGGCGGTCCGGAGGCCCTGAGGCCGCCTCCGCTGCTGCTGCTGCGCGGCCTGCCTGTCGCTCGCCGCCGCTGCTGCTGCGCGCGCGGGGCCCTCCCGCGGCCAGGCCGCGGAGGAGAGCACGAGGAGGAGGAGGAGGAGGAGGAGGAGGAGGAGGAGGGGGACGAGGTTGAGGTGGAGGAGCCCGCACCTGAGGCCGCTCGGGCGAAGGGGCCACTCTTGCGTGTGGCCGGTCTGCGAGCGGGCTGCAGCATAGACTCGAAGCGGCGAGCTCGGCAAGCCTGGGCGGCCTGCCGGCGCCGTGCGCGTCGCAGGCCGTCGAGGTAGGACTACAAGCGTGTTCGTTCGCAAGCCATGTCGCACGACACATCGGCTCCGCAGGGGGAACACAGATGCCTGCCGCGCAGGGTGGGCAGCCATCAGAGATTACGCCAGGGCATCGATCGGGTCAACTGACAGACAACGTTGGTTCGCAATTGCGCTGCAAAGCGATGGTGCCTGAACAAGCGGCACGCGTGCCCTGGCTCTTGAACCAAGGAGCTGCGAGAGACGGGAGGCTTTCGCCTCCTTCCTCCAGAAGTCTCCCTCCGTGGCCAAGGGGGGGAGGACGAACGACGAACGACGAACGAACGAACGACGACGACAGAAATAGAGAGGTCCGAGCTCTAGAACACAGCTGTGCAAGAGAATCATGCACTCAACGCCTCCATCGGAGGCAAGGGGGGGGAGGCGGGAGGGGAGGGGAGGGGCGGGGCGGGACGGGGCGAGAGGACAGGAGGCCCTCGCCGGCGTCGCCTGCCACAAGAAACCGCCGCGACGGGGACAGAGGGAAGGGGGGGGGCAGAGGTAGAAGAAGAAACAAACACATACTCTGAATCCCTCAATATCCCTCAATAGTTTTTGGATCCCAGACTACAATGCCCCCCCGGAGTGCAAGGGCCCCCCCCCCCGGACTACAAGGGCCCCCCCCCGGACTACAGGGACACCCCCCCGGACTACAAGGGCCCCCCCCCGGACTATTGGTCACCCCAAAACTATTGAGGTACTCAGAGTAAACATGAACTTTTGGCGCTCCGCGCGGATTTCTCGCACTCGCGCTGGGTCCCCCCTCCCCGGCGCGCGGAGCGCACCAGAGGCGGCGCCGGAGGGACCGACGGGGGGCCCAGGCGCGGATCCGAGAGATCCGCGCGGAGCGCCAAACGTTGATGTTCTGCGCGCTCAGTGTCTAATTTAGTCCGCTGCTCGTGAGCTGGGTTCGACTTAACGCCGAGCGATGTGTTGCTACGGTCGCGATCAACAAAAACCAGAAGTTGATGTCTACGTGGGCTTTCGGCTATACGCAAGAGTGACCCTGGGTAATTAAGAGTGACCTTTGGTGCGCGGCCTTTTGGGGGCCGCGGGGGCACCAAATCTGGGCGCGCAACAAGCTGCTGCTGCTTCGTTTTCAGCCATCTGGGGACCCATCTGTGCCCGCACCAAAGGTCACTCCTGCGAAAGGTCACTCCTGCGTCTGGTCGAGTCTTGCTCTCCTTCGGGAGGGGGTGGCCCAATCGAAATGCCCGCCGCCCTCCGAGGGCAGGCTCAATTTTCCCATCACGAAACCAACGGGCGTCCGAATAATGCGGGATGACGATTAATGAAGAAATGAGAGAGAACGATTAAATAATAGTTTGCTGCTATCTCTGCACAAGCTTCTGACCGGAGGAGAACGATTCAAAGAGATAGTCTTCCAGCCCGCGGCCGGTTTCTTCTAATCGTCATCCCGGGCGCCGCCGCGTGAACACGATCCCCGGTCATTTATGAATCTAGGGCGACGAGATCTATGCATATCCACTGCTCCTGGCCAGGCGCATCCTGGGCCCAGGAACGGTGTATATGCCTCCCTGGCCAAGCCAGGAGGGCGTATACACAGCTCTTGGGCCCAGGATTGGCCTGGCTGGGAGCAGTGGATATGCATAGATCTCGTCGCCCTATAATCGTCATCCTCCCCAGACCCCCGACGTCGTGAATTTTTCATGACGTCGACCCCCAGCTGTCTGGACCCATTCCCCGGGACCGGTTTTTCGTCCTGAGTCGTTTTTGTGACGGTCTCGAGGGCCGGCAAGGGCCCCCACCCGAAGGCCCTGCGTAGTTAGTAACAGTTAGCGGAACTTCTAATTGTTATTAACGGAGTTATAACTAGTTAGGTTTGGCCAGTGTGAAGCTGTTTTTAATGTTTATGTTGTGTTTTTGCATCTCATGTAGTTGGAAATTGGGGCATCATGATTGGCCGCTTCGCCGATTTGGATCTGCTCAGGGGCCTTCAGTTGTTTTTATCGTCCTGGGGCAAACGCGACAGTCCGCAGCGCATCATGCTAGAAACATCGCGATTTGTATTCTACTGGCCAAATGCACGTGATGTCGTTCTCTATTTTCCTGTAAATCACAGGAGCTTTCAGCGAGGTCAGAGGCATCAGAACAGGGTCTGTATCATCTAAAAAGATGTGTCTGGAAAAACCTTCAGCGGCGTTCACATGCTTAGTTGCAAGCTGCTGGACGAGCACCTGCGACTCGCCATCGTCGCATGTCACGTGAAACCACACTTGCATTGCTGCATGCATCCCGCCCGACCCCAGAAGTACGATATCACCGCGCTTGATGCGGCCGAAATCTGTCATGGCTTCGACGCTGGAGACGGCTGTCTGCGTCCCAGGGCACATGCGTTTCAACGCATTCAGCAGCTTCTGCGTTGCTTTCGTTGGGTCGACTAAGCCAGGTGAAACACGCATGGTCTTTAAATCGTGCGTGTGCTGCGCAGTGAGTTGGACCATGGGAGCCTTCTCTGGCCCCTTCTTGCACGCGTGGTCTTTGGCGAAACGTTTTACGAATTTGTGCTTGCGTTCCTGGACAAAGCAACTGGGCGACCCATGGTTTTCAAACATTTCTGGCCAATTGGTTGCCATATGGTGCTTATACACCCAATAGCTTTCACCATATGCGTCCTGATGGCACCGAAGATGTTTCATTATCGCTGACTCTATCTGCGCGGTCGTGACTGGAAGCCGCCGCGCCGCCGTGATGATTAAGCCAACGGCATCTTGCAATGCCTGCATACTTGCGATCTGGGGGGGGGGGCACTTGATCCGATGAAGGATGCTTGGCAATTACTTGCCGAATATACCTGCACAAAACAGGCAACGCAGAGATCTCTTCTGAGGCACCTGCTTGGAGCTCACCAGTCTCCCATACAGTTGCGGCTGAGTGGTGTTTACACGGCCACGTCCACTTCATGAAATACTCATGCAACTCCCTTGCATCACACAAACACTTGCACTGCGCATGCCCGAAAAGTGCTTTTACTTCTCTGCCGAATATACCAGACACAAAATAAATATGCATCCAGTCAAAGCAAATGAATGACGCAGGGGGATATCGCAAACCTGGGTCCAGCGCTATGTGTTCGGGGTGGAAGTTCCATCCTTTGTGCTGTGTGATGGTCGTGTACTGCCCCTCTGAAAACTCCCCCCGCTGATATTTACCCCAATCGGGTCGAAGTCGTTCCAGGATCGCGAGGATTGTCGCGTCATCGTTTCTGCGTGTCTTTGACGCATCCAAGCACGCGTCTGTCACGAAGAAACCAGATACATCATATGTCAAGTAATCAAACTTTCTATTCAAGGCGTTGCGACATAACGCACAGGGCTTGGAACCAGCGTGCCCTTTGTTCATGCGTAGTTCCCGCAATGCCTCTTCGTCCCCTATGACGCACGACAGCTTCGCGACGATCGTCGCGTGCGACGTTGCGTCGCCGTTCTCTGACACGTCTAGTGTAACGCCGCTCGTCTCAAAATTGAAACCACCAGCAGAATTAAAAAGAAAAAAACTTCTTTGAGGATCATCTTGATGCACTGCCCGATGCCACCTGGAATGCTTTTTATTGTTGCGCACCGCGCAGTGCTAAGCGTGAACCACGCATCTTCGTTACCCAAGGACTCGTCGAACTCAGCGAACGACCAGTAAACAGCATCACCCCCCCGATAATCTTTTTCGCGACGATCGTCGCGTGCGACGTTGCGTCGCCGTTCTCTGACACGTCTAATGTAACACCGCTCGTCTCAAAATTGAAACCACCAGCAGAATTTAAAACAACTTCTTGAGGATCATCTT